TTAGATTTTTCTATTGTTAGTGTCGTTTTTTCTACAAACGTAGAATAACATTTTTGAAAAGATTTTTATCGTGTTACGCCAAAGAAGTGTAACTTCTAACGCGTTTACATAAGTACACACACGTTTTTTTGTTTTCTATAATTGTACCGTATGTAACGAAGTAATACTTACATTATGGGCGTCTGCAGTTGGTATAATGTATGCCTGGACGCCGTTCTCTTCCATAACCCTTCGTAAAGCATCAACACGCTGTAAACTTAAGTGACGTCGTGGATTGCTTGATTGTGATGCTGAAAAGAATCAAGAGCTTTGTGCTTTGGAACCATTACATCAATATAAATGTGCAGACCAGCCCTGCGATTCTGTAACTCACTTTCGCATCGGCGGTCGCTCTCAAATTAGTCGTGAAGCAGTCATTTTTTGATTTAGCATTCTGATAAACAATAAAATACAAGCTCCCACCTTTTCAGAATGCCAAATCATAAAATGACTGCTTCACGATTGATTTGAGAGCGACCGCCGATGCGAAAACCGCTGTGTGAGTTCGAAAAGTGAGTCACAGAATCGCAGACCAGTGTTAAAGCAGCCATTAAGGCTTGAGCATCACTATAACAGCTATAGACGTACTGTAAGGTGAACTTTCTGTGCCTAGACACGCCATCTTTGAGTCTAAGACATGCCAGCTTCATCATGTTTTCCTTTACCGCACAGCTGGAGTCGAACCTACGGCTTTAGGAATGAGAGGCACGCCAACACTGCTCAAATACGCAAAAGTACTTACAAATAGTACGCGTGTCGGGTTCGGCCCACTCATAATAGGAACTGGGAACATTACTTGCCGCATTGTGTAATGATATTCTGAAATCAAAAGAACGGTTTATTTTTGTGTTAAGAGAAACATGTTACGAGGAACAAAAAAATTTACCAATTAAACTGGTGCACAAGGTACAATAAACTTGAAAAGAAAGACAATACAATAGACCAGATGGAAGAGAATGGCACAGAGCAGACAGAAATGGCGGGATCTGGAGGAGACCTTTGTCAAAAGGGCACATATTTAAAAAGAATGAGATGATAGAAATATAAATGTGTTTAAGAAGTATCTGAAATATATAGCTGTTATTACGAGTATTATTATTAATTTCCGTAACTGTTTACTGTTTCATTCATGATCCTGGTACAGTGTTGCACACAGTTTTTCTTATTCTTGCCGTATTTGATATATCTAATATCTATAGCTTTTAAAAGCTTAGATATATCAAATATATCTATATTATATTTATAGCTTTTTAAAGGATAAATGGATTTCGTGAGGATTGATAGATTCGTGTTTAAATGCTTTGGGACGATTCCTGTGTTTGACAAAATGATAGGAACCATGGATGCTTTGTTATTTGTGTTTGTGATTTTGAATTTTGTATATTTCGTGGTTTTTTGAGCTATTATTATTGATATGATTGATTAATACATAATTTGACTTACATTAAAAACAAAACCAGATTTCTCACGTCCGCCATTTTAAACACTGGCATACAATGTTCCAAAACCTTATCAATATTTTATCAATCTTTATTATAGATTAATATTATCGGTAGTAATTCACTTCTCACATTATAATCTCACCAATTTAATTGTTTTACATCATCATTTTTTTATATAACAAAGTAGAAAGCACACCTTATGTTAAGTGATACCACCCACGGACACTCTCAATGCCAGAGTTAGCGAGTAAGTTGCCGGCCTTTTAAGAGTATATCGTGAAGGACCCTAAGTTGAACCGTGACCCGTAAACTTTGAAGAATTCAACCGGCAGTGCAGTAACTTTAGAGTAACTTGTCTTAATATAATATAATAAAAGTTACATATCGACGTAGGAAAGCACATTTGCTGTAAGTAGACATATTGCAATTGTTCACCAGAGCCAAAAAACTTTATTAATTTCGGAAAAAAATTAATAGTGTCTGACCTATCCATGATATTGCTACCATTTTTGAAACATATATTTATTTAACTGCCAGTCACCATTTGCAATGTAAACTTTTTATCCAAAGTTACTATAAGTACGTGTTTGGCTAGTTACAGCAAACAGTTTTTTAAATCACAAACCTTTAAAACGCTGTAACTAAGGAAGAAAAATGTACGCTCGGAAATATTATCAATTTACAGGCGGTAAATATGCTGTATGCAGGAAATTTATGTATTTGGGTACTTTTAATTGCAATTCAAGATGTAAGATTAGTTTATAATTATGATTAGATCTAGAAATGCAGTGGGTCATTTGGTAATGTAATGTTTGATTGAAATAAAATGTCGTAAATGGTAAAAAAAAAAACCAAAACTGTAGGTTCCCTAAACTTGCTGTAAGTAAACGAATGTAAAAATCACACGCCGCTGAAATGCTGTAAGTAGCGTTAAGTTTTTAAATGGGAAGAAGTAAGTATTTGTAAAGAAAAAAATGCAGATTTTCTTTTGCTGTAAGTGCAAAATGTCTGAAATGACTAGATTTTGGTCTACATACAGCATTTAATCTTGCTAAAAATAATATAAGTACGGGCGTTTTCAACGGCGTATGTAATTTTTTTTTCATCGTAGAGACACAGGACCCAGGTCATTCGATGCGGCTTTTTTTTCTGATTCTAATGGCAGGAAAAAGTCACTTTAGGTATTTTGTCTACTTACAGCAAATATGCTTTCCTACGTCGATATAGCCTTTTGTAGGCTTTACCAAGTTCTACAAGTTCTTTCTAGAATGTGTCAAAAAAAAACATGAGTGTACTTATGTACACATGATAAACATCTTTTCAATAATTTTATTCTACGTTTGTAGAAAAACGACACTAATAATGGAAAAAAGGTATTCAATACATTGAATGTTTTATTATAACGCATTATCTAGTTAAATAAAGTTTATATAAATATCACAACTATCAAACTATATGTATTTCTACATAATTAAACAAATTTACATGTTTTATTTTAAAATGTTGACTATAGCTAACTTCAGGGTGTCGGTTTTTGTGAAGTGTGCGCGCGCATCGCAAAAAATTACTCTCATCATTTTTCTAACGCGCCATATTATAAAAATGTCAACGCCAACTGTCATAACGGATCCGGAAGATCCAATAACAGTAGCTGACGAAAAATTAAGAGCCGCTCGCTCGGCAAAATAAAATCAAATTCGGACTAGGGAAGAAAAAGGGGGAACCCCGCCTTCCTCTACTATGTACTTCGCTCATTCCAGTGAGCTTCCGTCCGACCCTTTACATGGCCCAAGCCGAAGTCCCGCAGGTGCCGCCCTTAGTCGCAGGAAAAGCGTAATCCGGCCAAAACAGCCCGAGCTGAGCTGTCAAGGCCCTTTTGGACACTGGCGAGATTCCATTCCAATTTGATCCAAAAACAAAATTACCCCGTAATATTACGTATAAAGTGTTAATATTGACATTTTTGTTTTATGATCAAGATTTTATATACAATAATATAAACTTATCTTTATTGCGATAAATAATTTAGGTTTATATCATTTATTTATATAGATTTCGACATAATTGGTGCAGTTTATATTAAATGTAAAAACGAATTACTACAAGGTGATAACATATAAATGAATTAAAAAAACAATATAAATCAGCGGTGCTACCCTCTTTAGGTCTTGGCCTCAGATTTCTGTATCTGTTTCATGATCATTTTTAAATCTAATAGGCAAGTAGGTGATCAGCCTCCAGTGCCACACACGCCGTCGACTTTTTACGTCTAAGACATGTCGGTATCCTCACGATGTTTTCCTTCACCGTTCGAGCAAATGTTAAATGCGCTCATAGAAAGAAAGTCCATTGGTGCACAGCCGGGGATCGAACCTACGACCTCAGGTATGAGAGTCGCACCCTGAAGCCACTATGCCAACACTGCTCTTTGTGACTACATCATTGCCGAGTATATCCCGAAAATACAAAATAACATTTAAATGCAGCACTTGGCTAAAAATGTATATCTCAGCAATATTTCTGCAACAGTACTTAGCTAGTAATATTGCAATATTTTACATTTATGAACATCAGAAAAGAAGTTAAATTAGTTCTAAATTTACATTTACTACCAGTTCGCAAGGGCGTAGAGCGAGAAAGAACTGGCAAGAAAGTCTCCGCCACTCTTTTTAGTCGCCGAGTTTTGAGTCATACAAATTGTTTGAACTGGAGCAAACCAATCCCAAAGATTACACATAGAAAGTACATGATTCAAATTGGGTTGAGTGAAAAAACAAAATAACGCTACGCAAATGTTTAATACTTAAATTAATACAACAGTAAATAGTCATTAAATAAAATGCACAAATTTATTTAGTTCTTGTATAAAACAATAAATAATATGAGAGGTATGAAGATGACATAAGACAATTATTTATTTGGAAGCACATCCGATTTACATAATGAATTTGTTTGCACCGACAGTTAATACAACACAAAAAAGAAAACATAGATTCAACAGTTAATGTTTATCATTCAATAGAACTATTTTGACAAATAACACATAAATCTATAATTTATTGCCGGTCATAAAGCACGCCAAAAGCAGTGATGCCAACTTGCCCCAAACTTAGAGGAACCCATGATGTCCTGAGGGGTTTTAGGTATATTTATTTAAGGGGTAATTTATACAAGAGTTCTTTTTAAAAAAAAACCACGATTCTATAGAATTTATATTAGGCCTAAACTTCAACCAACAAACCAAATATAAACTTCAAACGTGGCTATAACTGAAATATCAAAAAGGTATCGAAATTTTATACTATTTTATACTTGAATGTATTTTTGATGCACATTATAAAAACTTTAGGGGTTTTTTCAATGTTTAAGGGTACTTTTTTAAATTAGAGAATACAAATAAAAAATTCCTATAGAATGTTCTAGCAGTTGGCAACACTGGTCAAACGCCACTTAAAGGCGCCAACTGTGTTGACACTTCTAATCGATGCAGACAAAATTAAATTAATAAATGTTTTGATATTAATAAAACAGTCCTTTAACTTTTAATTGAGGTAAGACGTTGATATTTTCAACAAATTCGTGATATTCACAACAAAAGCTGTGCGTGCCGTCGTTCCGCCATTTTAGCCATTTATATTTGGAGTTCTCATAGCAGACATCTTGACAAAATGACAATTCGTCAATTCTCGCCTCTGTGTAATATGTGGAATTAATTAATACGAAAACAATGGCAGTCTGCTTCTTGGAATCGTAGACCAACTGAAAAAAAATCCTGTTATAATAACTAAATCATTGTATTTTTAACTAGAGTCTGGCTAATGAAAGAAGATAATTTAATTATTAGAAAACTTTCGGATGGCACACAGAATGTCATTGAATTTCTTAGGTTAGTTTGATTTATTGTCTTGATACTTCATGCAATTACTCATTTTTATTTCTATTATATATTTTTTCCGAATAGTTAACAGGTATAAACTTTGTTTTATTTGATAGAATATTTCGTTTCTTTCGCAGGATTTGATTATTCCGAATAAAGTTGTGTTTTATAATAAATATAGTTTTGTTTATAAGTTGTGTTTTATAAGTCAATTTAAGTATCAATAGTAAAACACTAAATACGTATAGTATTTAATTTCATAGAAATACAGTAACTACTCGTATCAATGTAAAAAATAATAAAATAAAATCGAGTATCAAGTAAGTTTAATCCACAAAATATATCAAACTTTTAGGGATACCATACTAATTTTTTTGAATTTGCCGCGCTTTTTCGTTATTTTCTTTCATTAGCCAGACTCTATGAAACTTATTGAAATTTAACATTAAAATATTTTTTTGAAAGAATAGTTTAATCCTACATTTAGATTAGAAAAACTCTAATTTACATATTATTAATTATAAACACTTTGTTTTTGAAGGTTTCACTTACGCGTGTAGATAAGTACACACGTTTTTTTCTGTTTTTTTTTGTTTCTTTTTTGTTTTAATACAGACCTTGAAAAAGTATAATGGCACAGGTACAATACCATTATTATTTTTATCGGTTGACAAATAAATCTCTCGATGCTTATTGGCCGAATCCGCCAAAGTCATAACGCCGTAAGCGCCCGTGTATAATGTTACCGTTGTGTTCAGGTCGTGAACACGGCGTCTTACTGCCTGTAAATAAACGTGTCAACTAGAACAGGCTACCTCTATAAATTACTGAACCGATTTTGATGATAACTTTACAATTGTCCAAGTCACGATCTTATTCTTGAGAACCCTAATACCGGCAGTGTATAAAGAGCCCATAATGGAGCATCATTACAGAGACACCACCATCGACCACCAGTCCAAGCGCCCATGCCCCGCCCGCCAATGACACTTACACTGCCAGAAAGCTCGCTAGGCTCTTTTAGGAATTGGCACCATCACTATATGGAACCAGCTGCCATTGAAGTATTTCCGAACCAAATCGACTTCTACTAAAAGAGCGTACAAATTAAAAGGCCGGCAACGCACTCACGCCCTCTGGCATTGAGAGTGTCCATGGGCGGTGGTATCCCTTAACATCAGGTGAGCCTCCTGCCCGTTTGCCCCCTGTTCTGTAAAAAGAAATTGGTACTCTTTTGAAGGACCCAAGTCGAACTGGTTCGGAAATACTTCAGTGAGCGGTCAAAAAATGCCTTAGAAAACGCTCAGTTGTGGAACGGACGTCGAGGTGATACGGGTGGTATTTCGTATTCTGCCTCGACCGCGACAGCTCACCCACGGCTCGTAGCTAATTAATCTATATATAAATGGTCCCTATTTCCCTTGGTCACGGCATCACGCGTGAACGGCTGGACTGATTTCACTAATTATTTTTTTGTTCTGTTTGTTATTGTTAAGAAGGTTCTTATGAATGAAAAAATTAAGAAAATTGCGCGCAAAATTTAAGAATACTTAACCACCACTTGACATAACATTGATCGAATGCGTGCTGCAAATATCGTCAAAGAGGATGTAAGAAAAGTGAATATCGTTTGAAACAAATATAACTCCGTTATTATATTGATGATATACATATAAAATAATTATATTGATAAAATATATCTGTTCCCGTGTCGGAATACCAATAAAACTATTTTTTTTAAAGACAATTCACACCAATTGACCTAGTCCCATGCTAAGCTGGTGAAGCTTGTATTATGGGTACTAGGCAACGGATATACATACATATTATTATAGATAGATAGATATAAATACATATTTAAACACCCAAGACCTAAGCGCAACACCAAATGCTCATCACATCGATGTTCGTCTCAGCCGGGAATCGAACCCGGGCCCATGGATTCGCAGTCAGGGGTACTAACCACTAGACCAATGAGTCGTCGAATATATACAACCCTGAAAAACAAACAAAGAATGTTGTATATCATAAAGCATTAGAATAATACACACTTTGTTTCTGAAATATTTTTTTTGTTAATTATACCAATCCGAAATCAATATTCATAGTTAAGACAAGACAACGTCTAGCTAGTTTTTAACAAAAATTAAGTTTTATTATTAAACCAGACTTACATCTTCAACAGACGCCCAATCGCCGGCGTTACCTCGCATCCATTGCGGTGCAGTGTTGGCATAGTGGAATGAAGCGCGTTGTTCCGCGCTCAATGTAAAGTCCGCTTTGGGCGATAGGTGACCACGATTTAGGAACTATAGGAGAATTTTTTTTTTATCAGAAAATATTTACTGGATTTTTGAATGATAAATTAGGCTTTTTTGGACGTGTATAGCAGTATTGGCCTATCGGCTTCAGCGTGCAACTCTCATCCCCGAGGTCGTAGCTTCGATCCCCGGCCAAAGGTTTCCGTCCATGTGCGCATTTAACATTCCCTCGAACGATGAAGGAAAACATTGTGAGGAAACGCATAATATTCAGAACTTTCTTAAAATTATGAATTGTAAAGCCAAAAATTAAGAATATTAATTTGTAAGTTCCCCCTAAAAACTCCCTGGACATCTGGATTCCAACTAAATTTGGGGGAAAACCCCAAAGTGGGCATCACTTTGGGGTTTCTGAAGAAATCTTAAAATAATTAAGGGAATCTGAAGAATGCTTAAAGAGAATAATTAAAAATATTTGTATAGGTTCATAAACAATAAACTACAAGCTCCCATCTTTTCAGAATGCCAAATTATAAAATGACTGCTTCACGACTGATTTGAGAGCGACCGCCGATGCAAAAACCGCTGTGTGAGTTCGAAGAGTGAGTTACAGAATCGCAAGGCTGTAGTCCAATAAATAAACTGAAATGGCGTTTAAAAACTTGTCTATTGCAAGGCATATAGCATTGTACGAGCCAAGGCTGTATATTTTGCTCACTTAGGCTCTCTTGGTTTTATAAGCGTGACGTTTTCCTAAATCGTCGGAGTCACGCCCCGAGAGTATAGCCAGGCGAAGGCACTCTCTTCGACTGTTACTTTACAGTCATTTGTTTCATAGCAATTAACATTTCATTATTTCACTCATATTGTATTGTTATACGCGAGTGGTTAATACAGAGTAAGACAAAAAAAAACTTATATTATTTAAAAAACCGATGACCCAGCATAGTAATTTAAGGATATATATATAATAGATACCTGTATTTTCGTTATATACTTCTCGTCCATGCCATCACCAAGTATCTCTCGCAAACGCTTCTTTTGATGATCAATCTTGTATAACTTGGACATCTTCACTTTGCCAAATAAATCACCCTCTGAAACGTCAATTCATATTTAAAAAAAACAGTGGCGCCTTTTTAGGTCTGGGCCTCAATTGCTGTTTCATGTTTCATCATCTAATTGGCAATAGGTGATCATCCTGTGCCACACACCGTCGACTTCGCTCGAACGGTGAAGGAAAACATCGCGAGGAAACCGACATGTCTTAGACCCAAAAAGTGGACGGCGTGTGTCAGGCACAGAACTCAGAAGATCACCTAGTTGCCTATAATTAGATTAACAAATGATCATGAAACAGATTCAGACATGTGAGGCCCATGGCGCATGGCGATAAAAAAAGCTACAAAAGATATTGACTTATTAAGATAAAAATTTCCAACATAAATTATGCTAATCGCAGATGGTAGATTTTTTCCTACTCGATATTTTGGACATTTCACACAATCTATATATATAAAAGAAAGTCGTGTTTGTTACAACACTTATAACTCGAGAACGGCTGGACCGAATAAAATATCGGATAAGTTATCGAATAACAATAAATAAATTAATTAATTTTACGAATGCAAAAACCGTATGGTGCCATCTGTTGACAAAACTACGCATAATTTTACGTCGAATTCGTGTCAGTTCAAGAAATTCCGATCTTGAGGTGAATGAGGAGATGCATAACCATGCTTTGATCCTGATCAAAAGATGTTGGATATCAGAAAGTGCTTAACATGCAGTATCGCCATATTGACGCTAGATAGAAGATGCCTAATGTGTAAAACTGCCATTCTTCTTTCGCAATGGCAAGCAATAAAACATTTCTGTATTTGCAAAAAAGTTGTATTAATGTAATACTTAACATTAATGAAATCTTAAAATAAGTTAAATTAAAGTAACTACGATATTATAAGGTTGTAGGGCGGAACGAAGTTAGCCAGGTCAGCTAGTATCTTTATAAATTGTCGCCTATGTGTTATTCGGATGTATAAGGTATATTATTGTAATGTTTATATACATATAATGAAATTGCGCACAGAAGATGCTACGGTATTGGACATAATTTAAAAACAAGATTCGAATAATAATAGAATGTATGTTACGCTTAATGTAAGAGAATAAAAATAAATATTTATTTATTTAATTTTTCAAATGTAAACTGAACTTTATTGACTATAATGACTCCTTTTCCAGTCTTTGATTATTTAATTGTAATTAATTATTTGCATGCAATCAAAACCTATTTTTAATAATGCCAAAGAAGTATAACTTCTTACGCGCGTACATAAGTACACGCACCCTTTTTTAGGTTATATAACACGTGGCAATAACTGAAATATCACAATAAACATTTCTTACCTATAAACGAAGGGCGGGAAGTAATTTGTTTGTAAAAACTGGCCGGCGTCAACTCATGTTTGGAGTAGAGCGTCGTATAGAGACTTTTGTCGAAGCAAATATCGTACAATTTATGGAAATTGCCTGATATATTGTAGCCTGCACTGAAAAACAAAATGTTCAACAATTAATTAATTAATTCTCAATGACTGGACTGAAAAGCATTTTCATTTGCGTATTTATTTATATATATATAAGCAAACAAAGAACTTGGCGATTAAAAATAGTGGCAGAGAGTTTATTGCCAGTTCTTCTCTTCCGTTCTACGCCCTTTTGAGAACTGGCAGTAAATGTAAAATTAGAAGCATTTAATGTATTTTTCTTTTTTGACTGTGCTTTGACTTTTGCTTTGATTGTGCTACATGAATAAATGATTTTTGACTTTTGACTTTTATATTCCCGAAGGGGCGGGCAGAGACCACGGCCCTGTCCTCTCTCGCTTCATCCACTTTCCTGACATTCACCATGCATGCTCGTCAGTGATGGAAACTTGATCATTCTCTAGTGTCTCCTGGATTTAGTCCAGGTATGACTGAGAAGGCAGTTGGCCAAGTGGCTTCAGCGTGCGACTTTCATCTCTGAGGTCGTAGGTTCGATCCCCGGCTGTGCTGGTGCATGGACTGTCTTTCTATGTGCGCATTTAACATTCACTCGAACGGTGAAGGAAAACATTGTGAGGAAATCGGCTTGCCATACCCAAAAAGGTACAGAAGGCTGATCACCTACTTGCCTAATAGTTGACAAATGATCATGAAACAGATACAGAAATCTGAGGCACAGACCTAAAAAGGTTGTAGTGCCACTGATTTATTTATTTTTTTATGACTGAAAAGGCCAACCCTACCAAACTTCACCATCCACGGCTACGGTATATCCTACTTGAAACTCTTGTAAGCTTACTTCAAGCATTTTCATCATTTCTAATTTTCGTTTTTATATTAATTAGTTCGTGATATATTTTGTTGTTGTCCGTCCTTTCAACCTAAAGAAGCTATCCTCAACCAGTCTGACTGGCAAGAAGGCCGGAACATCGACTGGTGGACGGTGGCTGTATTTAATGAAATCTTGCTATTGGCCTGAATGACAGATCAGCCTGATAATTGCTTTTCCCCACGACCAGCCCGCAATGCGTCTCCTACGAGACTCGGATGTCGATAGGACACTTGCCTAAAAGGCGGGACAGATCACGGTAGCATACTGGAGTAAGCAATGTACGGAGTAAGAGCCTGAAGGAAGGCATTACTTGAAGGACCCTAAGTGAAATTGGTTCGGAAATACTTCAGTGGGCAGCTGGTTCCACATAGCGGTAGAGCGCGGCAGAAACTGCCTTAAGAGACGCTCGTGTGGAACGACGGACGTCGAGGTGATACGGATGGTATTTTGTATTCTCCCTTGACGTCTGATGATTGAACTAGCTGCAGGTATTAGTCCGAACGACTCCTCTGAACATGGTAACTGCGCTAGAAGATGCAGAGATAGCCCACATCTCTACGCAACGTCAATGAATCAAGCTGCTCGGAAAGTGACTGGTCGTTTATGATCTGATCTAAGACCTAACTGTTAGTAAGTCTAACTAAAACTACATGTATAATCTAAAATAAACAAGTTATAATCTTAATATATATAAATTACGTGTCACGTTGTTTGTCCGCGATGGACTCCTAAACTACCGAACCGATATCAATCAAATTTGCACACCGTATGTAGTTTGATCCAACTTAAAAGATAGGATAGCTTATATCTCAATTTATACCCGCAATATTATTTTATTACAAAATATTTGTTTATTATTTGATAGTCACAATTCTAACAGATGGCGCTGTGTTGAAAGTACCTTACCTTGTTGTAGCTTATGTGAAAATACACGCTTTTAGCACATTTTTCTAGACGTCATTCCGGATCCAATGAGATATCGCACATAATTTTAAGAGCAGTATCTCTATTTTGTACCATTTTCAACTTGTCGACTAGACTAGAATAGTTTACTACTATGTAATATAACAAAAATCTTAGCCACAGCAACGCTTGGCCGAGTCTACTAGTTATTATATAGTTTCGACTGTACATAACATTTTAATCAATGTTTTTTAAGGTACTAAATTGGTACTGTATATATTCTAAAGCAAAGTTTGTTTTCCGAGCTACAGTCGGATTTACAAGGCCACGTGAGCACTTTTATTTGTAAATAATCCTGATATAAACGAATACTTGACGACGCTACAATAAAATAACTTCTGTCTCTTTTCATCGCAGCTTAAACGCGATTGTGGGAAAAGGACGAATAGTGTAAAGTCAGTACCTGTAGATTTTGTTCTTTCCATAACAGTATTGTCTCGTTTCCTGCGCCGAGTACCAAGGAGGTCCGTTACATGTGACCTCCTTTAATTCGCCAATCCACCCGTTGTCACTACGAAACGTTTTACCCGTGACGCATTTGACTGGCTGAAAAAAACGCTTTAAATTAAACAATAATAAACACTTATATTATAAAGAGAAAATATTTTTCGTTTGCATTGAATAAGCTCCAAAACTACAGGCCCGCTTTTAAAATTTCTTTCATCATTAGAACCCAAATAATAACTAACCCAAATAAAAGGGATAATGTATATCCCTCATGAACATACTACATAGGCTATAGAATTTTCAAATAAGCAAGGATTCTGTATGAAATTACGATAGTATACCCATGGTGTGAAAAAGATAAATAAAAATTCTTAAATCGCGTACGCTGGGAAAGCTATTGGGACTAGAACAAAGTGATGTAATAGTTTTATGGAAGACATCAATATCTACAAAAATATCATGTCTAACAATAAAGTTTTCTTTCTTATTTACCGAGGAAAGCTTTGGGAGGGTCCTTTTGTAAAACGTTACGATCCGGGACGGGGATTGAATTACGAGTTATTGTTAATATTTTTTTCGACTTACACCACATAATAGTAACTAAAGATTCACTAGGTGGTCACGAAACGTTTTAATATACTTGGGTACTGAAAAACGTTTCAGCGAGTTACATGGGGGGGTCAATAATCTCCAAAAATTGCGTTACGTAATACTTGAACGCTCCCTTTACACTATAAAACCTCGTGCTAAGACTGATTAAATGCGAATGGAACCGCAAAGCACAGCTAGTCAATGGTAAAACTAAATACAGTCCTTCCTCCAACTTTGATTTTTTCCCTTTGGGGTTCAAGTGCAATCTAATTAATGATTTAAGTTGACGCCTGGTAGATAGTACTGGTGACCCCAGAGCTGGTGCTTTCCTCGCTCAACGAACAAGTATTGCAATACAGTGAGGAAATGCTGCCAGCTTTAAACGTACACAGCGACCAGATTTTTTAGGTTAATTTTATGTTCAAAATTTTCTATTATAAGTAAAAATTTTTGGTAGAATTTTTTGACGTGACAACGTCTTATAATTTGATGGAGCCGGCTGCACGCACGAAAAAACATGACTCATGCGGCGTTACCTCTGAGGCGTTCCATTTAAAGCTTTAAATTCAAGCGAGAGCACTCGTTCCGCGCTCTCGCTTGCACACAAAAATTTACACAATTGTATTTATGCGTACAAATAAATGTAACTTGATCAATTCAATTGTGATTTCCATTTACTTCCTTCTCTATATCCATACAAAATATCTATCTAACAAATAAAATTAAAATTTTCTTTTGAAGAATGCAACCATTCCATCAGTATTTTCTTATGACGTTGTCACGTTCAACTATCGTCAGTAAACCGACTTTACAGACAACCGATTTTTCGTTAGCGTTCCGGTTCTGAAAAGGTAAGGGAACGTCGTTCCACTGCGTTCCCCTCCCACTTAGTGTTGCGCACCTCATACATGAGGCACCTCAAATGTCACACTCAAAGTTGTAAATTGTCCCATCACCTCAAACACACATTTTGTACCGCTTCAAACTCATTGAGGTAGTTTTATTTTGTAACATATGACTTAATTTTTTAAATTTAACTTTTCTTACATTTTTTTAAAATAAAAGGTATTAAATAAAAATAGGCATCTATTTTTTATGTAATACCTATTTTATTTGTTTTTTCGTTTCATAAATAGGTGGTTCAAAAGTTTTAATTTAAGTTATTAATATCTGTGTGGATCGAGATAAAAGTACTTCGGATTAATATATTTTATCTATATATGGCTTAATATTTTAACTTAATTAATATCCATCTAAATTTATATATTAATAATCGAAATAATCCGAAAATATAGTTTTATTTATTAAAATATCAAAAGACATCTGTTACTTCATTTGTCATGTGGCAACATGAGTCACCTCACAACCACACGTATGACGTATCGTACATAAAGATACTAACAGTACAGAATGAGGTCCTCAAATGAGGTGGTACAATGTACCAACTCATTTTATAAAATGAGGTGGGACATACAAACACTTCAATTTCGTTTGTCCTACCCATCACTACTCCCACTACACTGAGCCTAGCACACTTGCTCGTCCGGTGAAGGAATATCGATGACGTGATGATCCACTTGTCTATGAAATAAAAATGATCAAAGAGACAAGTGCAATCTGTGGCTAGGACCCAGATTTTGGCGACACTGGATTATTTATATTCATACAGATACAGCCAAGCGTTGCTGTGGCAAAATATTTTGTTATGTTACATAGTAGTAAACTATTCAAAGGAAACGGTAGGAGAACACCAGTCATGGGGACCACCATGCTTTTTTGGTGGTTATGCCATTAAATTGTAGCTTATGTGAAACGTTGGTACAACACAGCGCCATCTGTTAGAATTGTGACTGTCAAATAATAAACAAATAATTTGCAATAAAATAATATTGTGGGTATAAATTAAGATGTAAGATATCTTTTAAGTTAGATCAAACTGCACACGGTGTGCAAATTTGATTGAAATCGGTTAAGTAGTTTAGCAGTCCATAGCGGACAAACATCGTGACGCGTAATTCATATATATTAAGATATGCAGACATTAATTTAATTTAAAAAATGCTCAATTACCTTGAGTTTTCATGGTCGCAAGATTAAAACAATGAATTTAAAAAATAATTATTTGCGAAGGCTTCCTTATTTTCCTTAAGATTATAATTTTACTTTCAGAAAATGAGATAAAAATAATGTATCTGTATCTCTGTTGAGCCGCGTGCGAGGGAGTCCTAACAGCATGCTGGCGGTAGCGAAAATTGCCCATGTGCATGTGCCCATTTTAATTTTATTATTCAACTAACACAATAATAACCATATGCACTGATTGTCTGCTTGAATAAAACAATATTATTATTTATTTATTTCTAATATATTACACAGTATTTAAAAAACTTATGAAAATAACAAATGAAATCTAATATTTATTTTCGGCAATAATAGACCAATTGACAGATGTTTTTAGTGCTCAAACTTTTCCCGCTTCTTATTTTTTTTTCGTATCATTTGGGCATAAAGGTTAGTCCACCGAAGAGCTGGCAGCTACCTCGGACACAGAATTAGTCTAGCTATTCAAAGGGGGAATGCTGCCAGTATCTTCGAAACCTTGCCTAAAGGGACTCCTTTTAATAATATATTTTAGTTATTATATTTTAAGGTTAGTTATTGTTTTTTTTTGTATTTATAAGCTAGCTTAAATTATAAATCGTAACTTTGTACAGTAACAAATGTTTATATTTAATTGTTTGTTAATATTAGTAATCATTATATCTTAACATTCTGATAATTAATATGACATTTGCATGTCAATTTTTAAATGGCTGATTGGGCTGTTTTTTATCATTATTCAATTTGAATGTACCACCTTCTTTGCAAATGAACAATTTTTTATTATTATAGAAACAATTCTGGTGAGCTGTGTTAGCTTAGTGGCTTCAGCGTGCGACTCTCATACCTGAGGTCGTAGGTTCGATTCCCGGCCGTGCACCAATGGACTCTCTTTCTATGTGCGCATTTAACATTTGCTCGAACGGTGAAGGAAAACATCGTGAGGAAATCGACATGTCTTAGACCCAAAAAGTCGGCGGCGTGTGTCAGGCACTAAAAAATGATCATGAAACAGATTCAGAAATCTGAGGCCAAGACCTAAAGAGGTTGTAGCGCCGCTGATTTATTTATTTTATTTAGACTATAAGTTTTGACAACAATTATATCATAACATTATGTAATTCAATAAAAAAAAATTTCTTTTCTCACAGTGGTTGCCTGGAAGAAATCGCTCGAAAGCGATAAGGCCGCCAGTTGCCTTTCCTTTACATGTAATTATGATAAATTTTTATATTATAATGCAACAAAGTGTTAATAAATAAATAATTAATATGACATTTGCTTGCCAATTTTTATATGCCTGATTGTTTTTTATAATTAATCAATCAGAATGTTCTTTGCAAATAAACAATGACGACATTGACGACTCATTGGTCTAGTGGTTAGTACCCCTGACTGCGAATCCATGGGTCCCGGGTTCGATCCCCGGCTGAGACGAACATAGATGTGATGAGCAATTGATGTTGTGCTTAGGTCTTGGGTGTTTAAATATGTATTTATATGTATGTCTACCTATCTATAATATGTATGTATATCCGATGCCTAGTACCCATAACACAAGCTTAACCAGCTTAGCATGGGACTAGGTCAATTGGTGTGAATTGTCTTAAAAAAATATATTATTATAGAAACGATTCTGGCAATATATTAATTAAACTTACCATAACGTCAAGATGCGTCGGCTCGTCTCCCAACACAACAAAACGCTTATGTCCCGGACAAGCGATTTGTACGATTTCCGATCTTCGTAATAAAATATCACCTGTCGCGGAATTTGGGGCAAGGAACTCGCCATTGTGTAAATAAACTGGCGATGGGCTGCTGAAGTCATCTTTCAGTGATAGATTACAAACTGAAATCAAAAACCTTTGGAATTAACAAGAAAGTCATGAATAGTGGTGAGCAACCCAAGTGTTCTCCAGGAAATCGGTTTCCGAGCCACAGCGAAGCGTGGTAGGGTACAGCTAGTATCTTATATATGTTATAACCTACCTTTTCTAAAATACATGACAATTATGGTAAACATAAATGTTACAATAATTAAAAATACAATAAACATTTTAGATTTTTGCTAAAGCAAAAAATTACTAGTAAAAATAGCGTATTAGATACCTATCAATACTGTTATTATTGTAAGTAACAATAAACAATAAACTACAAGCTCCCATCTTTTCAGAATGCCAAATCATAAAATGACTGCTTCACGACTGATTTGAGAGCGACCGCCGATGCGAAAACCGCTGTGTGAGTTCGAAACGTGAGTTACAGAATCGCAGGGCTGTTTATTCTGTTGTGATGAATTCGAATGAGAATGCCTGAACTGTTAGGTTGGTTTTTGCAGACGAAATTTGGAAAATTCTGTTGACCTTGGGAATGAAGGGACGACAATAATGTTATGTAAGAGTTCTTTATGAGTAGAGAATTACTTCGAATATAATGCAGATTATTGTAAGTTATTTATAATGGTTTATTTTAATCATAATACATAGGAATGCGATATACTTGGCATCTCATTAATATGTATGAGCAATGGTCATACAAGGGGTGTTCAAAAGAATAAAGAGTATCAATCTTTTATTAAATGTTATTTTATTTTACGCGGAACCTAGAACCTTGAGGTTCGTAAAAAAATCAGTGGCGCTTCAACGTCTTTAGGTCTTGGCCTCAGATTTCTGAATTTGTTTCATGATCATTTTTAAATCTAATAGGCAAGTAGGTGATCAGCCTCCAGTGCCCGACACACGCCGTCGACTTTTTGGGTCTAACACATGTCGGTTTCCTCACGATGTTTTCCATCACCGTTCGAGCAAATGTTAAATGCCCAAATAGAAAGTCCATTGGTGCACAGCCGGGGATCGAACCTACGACCTCAGGTATGATAGTCGCACGCTGAAGTCACTTTTTTTTTATTTTTTATACGAGGTGAAAATGCGCTTACGCAGGCCCGCATCAACGATGTCGAGCTTGACGCGGGGACTGTGGGGCTGGGTCTACACTTAAAACCCTCTGCTATTCAGAGGGGTAGCGAGACCCCACCCACTAAAAACACCTCAGCCCTTCACACGCCCTTAATATGGGCCCTCGGGGTTCGCTAGGCATTCTACCCAAGAACGCTGAAGTCACTAAGCCAACACTGCTCTGATGCATATCTTCAGGTTCATACCTTTTGTATATCTTGAAAAGCTATACTATATAGCGTACACTTTATGTAATCCTTATTGTAGTTAAGTTTTGATCCCTGAAGAAAATCTTAAAAGGGAAATTTTTCCTTCACCTAAAGAAAATTTTCTTGGACACTTGTATCTTACCCACTCTCACGACTGCCAAACGAGAACATACAACACAAAAATAAAAACCATTGTAGCCAGTGGCGTAACAATAGGGTGGCAGGGCTGGCAAAATGCCACGGGCCCCCGACCCAAGAGGGCCCCTGCCCAAGAGATATTATGTTCTATGGAAGGATGTGAAGTCTCCAATAAGCATTGGGCTAGCCTGAGGACTACAGACCATTCCCTCTCGCCTAAGAGAGGAGGCCATTAGTGGGACATATACAACGTGTAATTGAGTGTTAGTGCCCCATCAAAAGAATTTGTCACGGGCCCCAGATGGTATAGTTACGCCACTGATGGTAGCATGCCAGAAAGCAATGGAAAGAGAAAAAAATGTGTGCGTGTACTAGGTGTACACACGTAAGAAGTGAAACTTCTTTATGATCTTATTTTTCGAAAAATGATCTACTATGTGCAACTTTACAGAAATTGGTTAAATAAAGTTAAATTAGATAAAGTTTAACAAAAGGCTTTTATTATCATAGACATGAATACAAATACAATTATTTCATTTTAACTTATTACTGTACTACTATGTAGTACTAAGATTATTACAGAATTTCATTAATTGTAATATAATTATTAGTATTACTATCATGGTTATCGTTATTATACCTATATTTTTGTTACTAATGGCTTCGAATCTCTTCGGATCAACCGTGGTAGGGACAAGAAAAAGATGGCGCGTAACCGAAAAATGTGACAAATGTGTGTAATTTTTTTTCCAACGTCGATAAAGAAGTTTCACTTCAGAAGATGGCGCGTAACGGTAAAATGTGAAGCGTAACGAAAAAATGTTACACTAAATTTTTTTCCAACCCCGATAAAGAAGTTTCACTTCAAAAACAAAAGTGATATATTATAGTGTAAGGCAAAAGCAATGGGCGGGGCATATAGCAAGGATACACCGATAAAAGGTGGATTCAAGACTATGAAAGGAACAAAGTGAAGAAGAAAAAGAGAGCGCCCCGATAAAAGATGTATAGAAGAAATTAAAGCGGTAGCAGGAAGCGAGTGGAGAAAGAATGCCAAAGACAGAATCAGTTGGAGAAAGCTGGAAAAGGTCCTTTACCCGTGAAGAGGATCCAATCGACGGTACTGAAGGTAGCTAGGATATAGAGTATATTATAGGATAACAAAAAAAAATTAAAAAAATCTATGCTTTTTTTGTAATGATTGGAAATTAAACGGGATTTTATAGTAATATGGAGAAAATATTGGATTGATTTAATAAAATCCTTTACCATTAGAACCTTACGTTATGCTTGATTAAAATAGACAATAGAATATTTTAAATAACGTAAGCGTTCTTTATGAAACTACGATAGTATAACCTTGGTTTGAGATAAAATATATATAATTCCTAAATCGCGTACGATGAAACTATGGACAATAGAGCAAAGTGATGTACTACAGTTTTGACGTGACAACGTCTTATAATTCGATGGAGCCGGCTGCACGCACGAAAAAACATGACTCATGCGGCGTTACCTCGCTCTGAGGCGTTACCTCTCTCTGAGGCGTTACCTCGCTCTGAGTCGTTACCTCGCTCTGAGGCGTTCCATTTAAAATTGACATAATTTTATTTATGCGTACAAATAAATGTAACTAGATCAATTCAATTGTGATTTCCATTTACCTCCTTCTCTATATCCATACAAAATACCTATCAAACAAATAAAATTTAATTTTTTTTTTGAAAAATGCAACCATCCCATCAATATTTTTTTATGACGTTGTCACGTTCAACTATCGTCAGTAAACCGACTTTACAGACAACCGATTTTTTTTAGAAGACATCAATATCTACGAAACAAGAGTTATGTAACCTAAGTTAAGTATATATAAGTTTTTTTTAAGACAATTCACACCAATTGACCTAGTCCATTTTAACCCCAAGAAGACACAAGTTTGCGCGTTTTCCGCTAAAAAAAAACACCCTTTTTCGCTTCTCCTCTTTTCGAAAACACTCTACTTAAAGCCACAGCCAGCATTGGAATACTTGGCGTTGACATATCGAACGACGTTCAGTTTCGCGGTCACTTGGAGGGAAAGGCTAAATTAGCCTCCAAAAAGCTTGGTGTGCTCAGCAAGGCGAGACGATACTTCACTCCGGGCCACCGCATGCAACTATATAAAGCGCAAATTCGGCCCCACATGGAGTACTGCTCTCACCTCTGGGCGGGGGCTCCCCAATACCAGCTCCTTCCACTTGACCGTATTCAACGCAGAGCGGTTCGAATCGTCGACGACCAATCTCTCTCCAAGCGGCTTGATCCTTTGGCGTTGCGTAGAGATGTGGGGTCACTCTGCATCTTCTACCGCATTTACCATGAAGAGTGTTCAGAGGAGTTGTTCGGATTAATACCTGCAGCTGAGTTTCGTCATCGGACGTCGAGGCAGAGTACGAAATTCCACCCGTATCACTTCGACGTCCGCCGTTCTAGAACTGAGCGTTTTTCAAGGCAGTTTTTGCCGCGCACCACCACTTTGTGGAACCAGCTGCCCACTGAAGTATTTCCGAACCAATTCGACTTAGGGTCCTTCAAGATAAGAGCGTACCACTTCTTGAAAGGCCGGCAACGCACTCGCGAGCCCTCTGGCATTGAGAGTGTCCATGGGCGGCGGTATCACTTAACATCAGGTGAGCCTCCTGCCCGTTTGCCCCCTATTCTATAAAAAAAAAAAACCTAGTCCCATGCTAAGCTGGTGAAGCTTGTGTTATGGGTACTAGGCACCGGACACTCATACATATTATAGATAGATAGACATATAAATACATATCTAAACGCCCAAGACCTAAGCACAACACCAAATGCTCATCACATCGATGTTCGTTTCAACCGGGATCAAACCCATGGATTCGCAGTCAGGGGTACTAACCACTACACCAATGATTCGTCAAACGTCGAATACCAAATGTTAGAAATCTTGGCACACTTGAAGCCAAAATGAGCTCTTTAGTTATTCCCACTCATAATTTGTAATTAAACATTCTCGTATCCGATAAGGTCCCATAACATAAGTGTCACTTCGACTTACGAACTCTTGAATAAGCCAAGCTAGTTTTTTGTTAATCCAGCGTCGAAACCACTTTTTTTTATTGAAAAAATTAATTTAAATTTTAACCACGAGTGCGTTGCCGGCCTTTCAAGAATTGGTACGCTCTTTTCTTGAAGGACCCTAAGTCGAATTGGTTCGGAAATACTTCAGTGGGCAGCTGGTTCCAATATTTCCCTAATTTTATGTTAGTTATAAGCTCATATTTGAAACGATTAAAGCCAGTTGACAACCAGCTTCAAACAAAGTTTGAAGTTGTTTCATTTAACATATATTTGAACATATCTACAACAACCGCGACCAAACTAAACTGAAGACTGACAAAAAACTGACTGGCTTAAGAACATTGTGTTACGAATGAATTAATACGTCTGGAACCGCAGAGCATAGCTAGTTAAATATAATTATGTAAATGTATTTTTTACTAGCTTAACTTATTTTCAATTACATTTCGCCTTTTTTAAATTAATTCACGAAGCACATTTGCCACACTAACAAATACACAAAGAGGAAACGTAATTTATTATTTTATTTATCAACATATTTTTATAAACAATAAATATAAGGGCTATATGTATTAGTAGACGATGTCAAAAATGAATCCATTAATACAGGAAAAATGCCAAAAAGATTCAAAAAATGCTTTTGCATTAATCAGAAGCACAGAAAATAAATACACAAAATAAATGAAAATTCAATAACATATATTATAATTAATAAAAAACTTACTTCCAAATACATAATTCAATCGTAATATCGTGTATAAAATGATAAAATACTTCATGATAGCGTCTAGCGCGTATTATCACTCGAGTTACACTACGAGCAGCTCGGAAAGTGCAGTTAAATGGTCGCCCGCGTCATTGCCTACGTCATATATACAGTTGTTAACTAACTTGATTGTGAGTCATACAACATATTGTGGCACATACAAGCATATGCGCGCTCGGCACGGGCCTATCCCGCGACTATCAAGAACGTCTTCTGCGAGATTCGGACCTCGGCTTGGGCTGTCGCCGGGTATCAATGGCCTGAAGGGCCAGGATAGTAAAGGAACCTGCCCCGGTGATGGCGGTTTTTTACCCTAGTCTAAATTAGCTTTGACTCGAGGGCTTTTAATTTGTCCTTAGCTAATGTTATAGGATCGTCGAGATCCGTTAAGACGTGTCTGGGTCTTCTCTCCCCCCCTTTTTAGTCGGGAAGTGGTAATAATTGGGTAATAAACGGGTTTGGATGATGTTTAGCCATGTCTAAGTGGCGTTAGGACGCCAACTTTATCCAATGGGCTATAGTGGGGGGGCTCCAGCCGGTTGCGATTCTCTTGAATAGAGACTGGAGCGCCTGGAGCCCGTGGATATGGGAGGGGGCTAGCGTAGGTCTAGCATGGTCGAATACTGGCGTGTCGGGGCCTCCTACAGATCTTTTTTTGTTGGGTAGGGGTAAACATCCATAGCTGCTTGTCCAGAATTTTAACGCACGATTTCAGTGGTGCAAGTCCGTACGCCAGCACAGATCAACGCAACTAAACTGCTTTACAACAAAATCATCAAAAAATTAAAAATCACAGTCTAAAATATGTTTTAAAAATCGTGTGGCACTCGGGGATTGCCGTGGTAAAGCTATTGCATAGCATTTTTATCAACTTATGCAATTATAATTATTTATTTATGCAGTATTTTTTTTTTCTTTGATATAAATTCAATCTACCACTCTACCAGACTCAGACTAACACGCCTATATAGTCTGTCTCACTCTAACGCGTACCGACTACACCGGCCGCGCTTACGCTACGTCACCGATCACGCCAGACCGAAGTGAGACGCAATATGGGTTCTGTCCCGCTCTAACGCGTATTGGCCGCGCCTGTCATCGTGTGTTAGGTTTTTATTTTCGTTACGGAATTTCTTGATTCGGTCGCCGCGCTTAAAGCCCGCTTTAAAATCTATGCAATAGCCTTAAAAATTTACTTTAGGTTTCTATACATGACTGTACAATGTACACTGATAAAAATTGCTAAACACATTAGGCAAACATTTATCCTTATTTGAGGACAATTGTTTAGTAATTGTTCGTTAAGTATCCTTAGAGTTAATCCCCTTATTCATAAAAAGGAAATCAGTCTAATTAGTTTGCAGTCTAGAAGAAGCTTTAGCTAATAAATAGGTAATCCCTATATGAAAAAAAATTGATTTCATTCACAAATATCGAAAAGTTTTGACATACAGGAGGGATAGGTTTCGATAATTGACGTTCAATATACAGCAGTCATAGACAAAAATTTACTCGCTTTTAAGCTAGAACGGCAGAAGTTGCTTAGATTTTTTCCTACTAAAAATCTGGCCACACAAAATCTAACAAGTTATATGCCACTAGTATAAATATTTGTAACGGATCAACATTTCTGTATCTGCGTAAATATTGCGTAAATCTGTGTTCCAAATAGTACCGATAAGAATTACATTATCTAGTATCTACAATTATCTCCTTGACTGGGAAAATCAGTTATCGGTTTTAAATGTAGGCCGCAACATTAATTGCCACAACCTACCTCAAAAGGGGGTTTATTTTTTGCAACTGCTATCTTGATGGTCAAAGTTATGAAATAGGGCGGAAATAGTAATGAATAAAGCTAATGCTACCTTATTAAATTATTAAAATATCCAATACGTTTTTTATATATTATGAGCATCAAATTTACCGCTGAATCACGACTGGAAATCTTACTTTACAGTTGTTTAGTAACATACAAAATTCATAAGATATCTGTGGTCAGTAATGTCAAAGTCATTGTTTACTGTCAAGTATTTTGATAACTGCGATGAGTATTGGAGTAATCTCTTCTACTCTTAGTATTCTGTGCAAGTTGTGATTCCTTAGTGCTACCTTATTTGTTTATATTCATAAAATACAGCCTTTTAATTACTGATATATAATAGACAAGGCACTATGACGGTGAAACCTCGTGTAAAATTAGATAATGATGACGACCCAGTCGAAACTATGTTAAAAAAGGCCGGTTGTCTAGACTTACATTATAAAGTTCAGGTAATCAGAAAAATTACCTTTTAATCCTGTTTAATTATGTTCAAATTGATTTATATTGTCAACACTACCTCATCATTCTCAAGTATATACAGAAAGTTGTTACCCCGTCAATTATTTGTTACTATCAAATTTTAAAAATTATATCTTTATTTTCTTAATATTCTGTGATGCCTAGAAATCATTTTTTTGCCAAACTATTATAATTTTTTTATTCCGAAGAGATAGAAGAGCTTTTTTTACATCTTTTGTGGAATGAATTTTAAATGTAAGCACAATATTTAGTCTCAAATATGTCCAGGGCTCAAAACAAATTTCCATATTTATGTAGGTACTACTTGCAAACTTGTTTAGAGATTATAAAAAGCACGAATTAGACAAGTACATGTTTATGTAACCAGCATGTTTCCCAGCTTGGTGCTTACTATTGAAGTTTTGAAAGACTTTTCAATCTTTATTCGTTTAGAAATAATTTTGGACAAATATTTATTCTAGGAATGCATAAATACAACAAAAGATTGGAGGCAATGCCAAACCGAAGTAAACGATTTTAAAGTTTGCATAACAAGACATAAGCAGGAAGAAATGGCTAAAGCAGGCAGATAATATTTTAATTCATACTTACAATAGGTCTAGTTAAAATATTAATTATATGTTTAAAAATTGGAAATTGTTCTTATTAACAATACACACTAATATGTTAATGAACCACTAAACAATACTTAGTTAAACAAAATAGTTTCTTACAAATGTGTTTCACTGCTGTTTATGGTACATGCTGTATTTGATATATAAGCATATTTTTTTAGAATATTATTATCAAACTTTTAGCGTATAAAAAATGCACTTTGTTGCCAAATGTTTCTAGATAATTTTTTTTTATAGAACAGGGGGCAAATGGGCCGGAGGCTTACCTGATATTAAGTAATACCGCCGACCATGGACACTCTCAATGCCAGAGGGCTCGCAAGTGCGTTGTCGGCCTTTTAAGAATTGGTACGCTCTTTTCTTGAAGGACCCTAAGTCGAATTGTTTCGGAAATAATAATATTGTGCGGCAAAAACTGCCTTGAAAAACGCTCAGTTGTGGAACGGCGGACGTCGAGGTAATACGGGTGGAATTTCGTATTCTGCCTTGACGTCCGGTTATGAAACTCAGCTGCAGGTATTAATCCGAACAACTCCTCTGAACACTCTCCATGGTAAATGCGGTAGAAGATGCAGAGTGACCCCACATCTCTACGCAACGCCAAAGGATCAAGCCGCTCGGAGAGGGATTGGTCGTCGACGATTCGAGCCGCTCTTCGTTAAATACGGTCAAGTGGAAGGAGCTGGTACTGGGGGAGCTCCCGCTCAGAGGTGAGAACAGTACTTCCATGTGGGGTCATATTTTAAATAATTAATATTTAAAAGACATACAACCCACGCAGATGAAAATTAAAAGCATTGTAGAACATTTTAGACGAAGGCCACTTGCGTCGGAAAGACTTAAAACTATGCAAAAACAATTGGATGAAAAAGAGCGTCAGCTTCAGCGTTGGAACTCAACTTTAGATATGTTCACTCGAGTGCTCGAAGCAAAGAAAAAGTCATGTCTGTAATAACATTAGACTATCCCGAGATAGCACACATAAATAATAATGATATAGAAATTATGTCATTATCAAACCGGATTTTATATTTTTTTAAGGTCGTCACGGAAGAAATGTGTTCTGAACAAAAACATCACAATTTCTAGCGTGATATTAATATCCAACGCCTTAAATAAATAATGTCGGAGATTTTTATCCCACATAATACCACAGCCAGTTAAGAAAATGACTGAGGTATTATTAAATGAAGTAACAACCAGATTTCTTAATATCGAGGATAATAACATATTTGCGGAGAGTACATTATCAGATCCGAGGTTTAAAAGACATGGATTTTATAACGAATTTTCTTACGGGCGTGCTTGTACGAACTTAAAACATTTGGTCGCAAATGTAATTTTACAATCGCAGGCTGAAATTTTAATTGAAAATCCAGTAGAAACCGTAATTGCTGAGCCGCTGACGAAAAAAAACGTAACATCTGGTTTTGACAGAGAAATAGACGAAATAATTAAAAACACAAATCCGACAGCCGAAGGTATTATTGAAGTGGATACATATTTAGAGGAACCACTTTTACCACGAAATAAAGACCCTTTTAAAAGATGGCAACAGAAAAAAACTACTTATAAAAAAAAGAGACTGCATATGTGATACGTCAAGTCCATCGAACGAGTACGTATTTTTAAAATCTGGCCAAATAATTTCAGAAAGGAGAAAGAGACTGAGTGGAAAAAAGCATATTATGATATTGATATTGCTATTACTTTTAAATTACAACATGTGACTTTATTATTTAAACTTAAATGTTATTACATTTTTGTAAATAAATGCCCATTTTTTATGTAATACCTATTTTATTTATCACATGTTTCATAAACTAATAGCAGGTGGTTCAAAAGTTTTTTTATTTATTTATAAAAGCTTGCCAACGCTCGGCACACTGATACATTGATAAAAGAAAAATAAATTACATTGTTTAATGTGTCAAGCACTTACAGGCAAACAAAGCATATAAGAAATAATAAAAAGAAATTAAGAACAACAATAAATCGCTAAAGTGTGAGGGGAGCAACTATGGATATCCAGATCCAGCTCGTTTAACAGAATGCTCAAATTCAAAAATCATTTAATCATATGGGTAACGCATTGTACACTTATGACTTGTCAGCAAAGAAATACATAATATTAATGCTTCTAATTTTACATTTAGTGCCAGTTCTCAAATCAAGGGCGTAGAACGGAAGAGAATAACTGGCAATAAACTCTCCGCTACTCTTTTTAATCGCCATGTTTTTTTTTTTACACAACGTTTGTAAGGAGCTCAATCTGGATATCGGTGAATTTTGGCAAAAACGCGTTCTCCGGAAAGGAGGACAAATGGGATGTCTGGGATATCTACTGGGTACACGAAAACTTAAATTTTGTTAAAAGGTTGGGGCATTCTACCTGATTGTAGATTGTAGAGTTTTGATTAAAATACTAATCTGATTTTTTTACAGTTAATAAAAAATGACAAATGTCATATTTGAATTTTGATCAGTGTTACCAATGTCTATTGTTCGATACTCCTTTTGTATATATAACTACATTAGTAGAACAATTATACGTACCGATTTAAAAAGCTTAACAGCTTTCATTATTGACTGATTTTATTACTATATTCCGAAAACTGAAACTGGAGAGCGAATTACGTAGTAAAGAATCACACTTACAGGGAATTTTTTCAGAGAATGATACGCTCTTTTCTTTAATGCCCCTAAGTCGTATTGGTACTCTACAAATCCAAACTAGCCGATCAGAGAGCAGGGTCGTCGACGATCCGAGCCGCCCTGCGTTGGATGAGTCTTGTGTCTTCATAGGATTAAATTCAAGTTATAGAAATAACATGTTAAATGGTCTCGATTTCATACAAGTTAGTTCTGACACTGCTGGACATCATCCCGAAGAAATATTAGGAACGCTGCGTTGATTGCAACGAAGGCGTTGGCTATGTCCAAACTGATCGCCTGTCTATTGGTGTGTGAGGTAAACTAAAAGATCACCTGATATGCGACCTCGACGAAAGCCATACTGACGGCCACTAACCAGCCAGTGCTCCTCTAGGCAAAATTAGAATATGATTCGTAAACGAGTGATAGCAACACTAACGCTGTATTGCTCTACTAATCTGTTATCTCCCCTATCTGGTATTTATTTATTTAAGTCTGATAGAGTCTAAGTAATGTTTCTGTATATTATAAAACCAACTACATCTTGTATATTATTTATTAAAAAACCTATTGTATAAATATCATCTTAGGAATGTAAATATATATTTTATGCCTTCACATAAAGGGATAACCGGCAACGAAACTGCCAAGCAGAAGAAAGAACGATCCACCACATTATTTTTGATAGCCAGTTTCCTCATTCAAAGACTTATGCTGGTTAGTGACCTTAGTGTTAAGTGTTACCAAATACCAATGCATATAAGTGTGTTTCTTCCTCCCGCCGCACGTTTTACTAAAATACCAACATCCTATAAACATATTTATAATTACATAAAAAAAAACAATTTAAACGATGAAATTTAGTGAAGTGAAGAGTAGTGACTCCAAACCCTAAGTAATGAACATTTTCCAAAAAGGTAATGACTTAAGGTAAAGGTCTATGTTACCAGTCATAAAAAAAAGTTCATTTATTGACTAGTGTCAAATGTCAATTGTTTTGAGGTTATGTTTTGTAAACAACTAACATGTTTAGAAAATTAAGAATAAAATGTATATCGTCTATTTACAGTAGTTTTTCAACCAAGGCGGAAATAGATCCAAAACTTCGAGATGGTTTTGATTCTAAACAATTCAAACCACGACATCACCCCGGCAGAACTAACAAAACCAAAGCTTCCATACCTTCCACAATACAAAAGTCTATAAATACCGTATTAGATGATAATAACGCAAAAATGTACCTCGAGGAATCTAAAAAGCTAAGTAACCTTTTGAATTCCCGTTTATTGCCCCCAGAAGAACATGAAATTAGCGAAAAAGCTGCAAAAATACACCAAAATGTATCGAGAAAATTTTACGCTAAAATAAAGACAGAAATTACCGAAGAAGAGAAAATTGGTCACGAAAAAGAGATACAGAATGCTGTGTTTAATATTCTAAAGAAAAATGTTTATGCCTGGGGTAATGTAGCTTATGATAAAGCCACTTGCCTACAATATTTAATGTCAAGAGCTGCGCCTGAGTATGCTATATTAGTACGTATTTTGGATGAAATTAAACGGAAACTACCTGATTATAAACCAAGAAATTTCTTTGACTTTGGTTCTGGGGTTGGAAGTGGAACATGGGCTGTTAACACTTACTGGAAAAATGATATTTTTGAATATTTTACAGTTGATACATCACAGGAAATGAATGATTTAGCAAGACTAATACTATGTAATGGCAAAGAAAATGTAGAACTTCCATATAGAGCATATTTTCAAAGACAATTTCTTCCCGCCTCTACAGATGTTAAATACAACATAGTTCTCTCTGCTTTTTCATTTTTTGAATTACCAAGCATGAAATCAAGACTAGAAACAATTCAGAAATTGTGGAACAAAACTGAAGATTTCCTAATAATTGTTGAACAAGGTACAAATGCTGGTTTCCAAATTGTCAATGAAGCCAGAGAGTTTGTATTAGGTATTAAAAATCAAAATCAGAAAGGGTATGTATTTGCGCCTTGCCCAAATGATACGGCATGTCCACGATTCCTTGAACAAAAAACTCCATGCAATTTTATCATGAAGTATGAAACACTACCATTTAGATGCAAGACAGAAGTTCAAGCAGATTTATTTAGCTATGTCATATTAAGAAAAGGTGTAAGACCAGAAGACGATCCTCAATGGCCTAGAATTGTTAGAGCACCTTTAGTTAGATCAAGGCATGTTATATGCAGAATGTGCACTTCTGAAGGTGAACTGAAAGAAATTATATTTTCTAAGAAGAAATATGATCAGGAAACATATCGCTGTGCAAGATGTAGTATTTGGGGAGATGAGTTACCTGTAAAATAAATACAATCAACTTCCAACATTTTTTTATTTAACTTTTAATTTAAAAAAAAATTCTTTAAATTAATTTAATAAAAATATTTAATTTTTAAAACATCTTTGACAAATATAGTTTTAATAGTCAGGTATTTGAAAACTGTTGCAGTCTGCTAAGTCTAGAATGGAGTTTTGTAAAAAAGAAACTCATTGTGTCTAATGTAAAATCTTTATTTTTGGTGATCTTGGAAGCACAGTTTGGTGTTCAATTTAACAAATACAAACTTTTCATTACTAATTCTACATTATAGGCAAACAAACAAAAGGCAACCTATATGCATGACTACTTTACTAAATCTTAGATAAAAAGTATTTTAAGACATTTTAAGAATTCTGATTACAACAATTTTAAATTTGTAATGAAAAAGAACTGAACACTATATTATCATTGGCTTTAGTAAATAAGTTGTAAATTAGTTAGACAACTTAGTGGACAAAAAACTGTATATTTTGTTTTTCCACCACAATATTACTTTTTTTTTATAAACAATATTTATAATAATATACAAATTAGCTGAATTTTTTTTTAGTTCATCTATAGTCAAATTTCTGGAGAATAAAATTAAAATAATGGGTTAAACCAATATAGGAATGAGGTAAACAAATTAAACAATTATAAATAAAAAATTTATTCAATAACTATTAATCTAAGCTAGAATGTTTCCCTTGTTACGGAGAGCTGTGTATGCAACAATAACAGAAAGAGCCGTCGCGAGTACTTCAGAGTTAACCCAGGGTCCAGAGTAGCCTGAAAATTTAAAATTGTATTACATGAAAGCATATTGAATTCCTGAATTACTCAAGTGGTGTGTAATGCGGACTGTGGAGCCTATGGAACAAAGCATGGGACACATGCTTTTTTTAAAGAACATTAGCAACCAATAAAAAATATACATTTATATGTAACTTACTAGTTATGTTATTGCTCGAAGGTGCAGTATGTATTATTATTAAAAACAAATAAATCTTTTTTAAGTTAACATTTACATAGATCTAAAAATTTTTTTGTTGCTTAATATAAAATAAATATTAACTCACTTCCTGGGTGGTTAAGTTGTATAGCCAACAATGGTGCAACTGCAGCTGCTGGGTCACTGCGGCGAGCACGGCGTAGAGAAGCAAAACCTTCCTCATCCAAGATGCGGACTTCATGGACGCCTGAGCGTGCCTTAGAAGGCTCTTCAGTCCAGGATACCTAAGAATGTTACGTATATAGTACAATATCTGGTTGCCATATCTTAGTTATAAAGTCATTGGCATTTCTACCTGCGATATACAAAAGTTAATATAACTGGACCTCTTATTCCACTTAAATGGTAAATATTAATAATACTATATGGAAATAGACATGTAGAATAGAATTATGGATTGAAGAACAAAAATTAAAGCATAGAGAACCCCATACTTTTGTTTCAATGTGTTTTACAACTTATGGAATTTAAGTAACAAAGACTCATAAAAATACATTATTATTAAAATAGGAATATACGATTATATAATCTCTTTTAAGAAATATAAAATAATGAAGCTAGATTCAGATTCAGATCTTCAAATTTACTTGCTTCATGTAGAGAATGTGAAAAGTTCGTACCTGGTACTTATTTTCTCCAATACGCGCCGCAGTCAAGGATTTCCCATCGACCTCCGCATATAAAGCGTAATTTGCAGGCAAAGGATTATCACATTTTAATGTAAATTCTGTAATATAAGCGATTTGTGTCACTACCGTCGCATCTAAACTTGTGAAAGATGCGGCTTCTACTTGTGGGTTTTGGCAACTTTCAGCGAAAGCAGTGCTGGCAGCGATGGCGAGAATCGTGAACAAATATTTTGTGACCATTTTGCAGTCTTTTAAAATTACTTTTAATTTAAAATATATATAAAATTAATCAGTCCACGTCGTATTACGGTATTCGTATTCGAAAATGATATTTGAAAGGCGAAATGCAAACGCGTTCCAATTTTCAGAAGTGGTCCACACTCCACGTAGTGAGAAATGATAAAAAAAGTGATAGTCTCACATATTAATAAATACAACATAAAAATATTTGAAGTATTATTTTTAATCCTATTTTGTAAAGTAATTTAAATAAGTTTAATAAAGTGGTTCGAATAGTATATTTTTTTAATATTTAAAGAATTATAGGAATGTTAAGATATCGTATAGGCATGAAACGGAGCGTAGCCCATAACATCACCGGTGACGTGTGGGTTGTCACTTCTTCTTGACACAAATAGTGGATTCGATGCGTTCAACTTTCTATATTTTACATATGTTATCATGAAATAATTATTTGTAATATATTTTTTTGTGTGAAAATATTTTATAAAACTTGTTAAAATTTTTATCAATTATATATTTTATTAGGACATAATCTTAGAAAAACTATTGATTTATTTTAAATTTGTAAACGCGACGACTTGGTATTTGGCGGAATTTTTAAATTTCATCAGTGTGTTTAAACTTTAAGCATTGCATTGTATTAATGTACGAAAAATAAGTTATTTTTAAACATGAAAAAAAAGGAACTATTGAAATCCTTTAAGATATCGCTCGTTGTTATTATAAATATTTGTCTATTTTATTTCAAATATTCTAATCTGCTTTTAAGTTACATTCAAAAATGTATGCAAATCACATCCTTATTTTTTCGAAGACAGGTTGAGCTTTAGAGGTTATGAACTTAGGTGATGAAATTCAATCAGGCCAAATGCCAGGTCCACTGACATCACAAGGCGAGGGAGGTACTTTTTTTGTAATGCTATAAATCTCTTTATAAATAAAACGCATAAATATCCGTAAAGGCCTATATTATTTACTTAGAACGAGTGCACTGGGCTTTGAGGGCCACTAAGTCTAGTGACGTCACAATCTTCCAGTACATTTTTGTAATTGTATCTCTTCATAAATAAAACACATGAATATCCGTAAAGGCCTATATTATTTATTTATATCGACAGCGCCGGGCGATTCAGCTAGGGCCACTAGGGCCAGTGACGTCAGTGGTTGCCAGGGGGCGTCTTGGCGGGGGACGCGGGGGGAGGGTTGCTCCATTCGACGCCATCGCCTTCGTATTGCGTGTTCTCGAGTCTTGTAATCAGTCGTTCATCTTCGTCGCCGAATTCACCTCCCATCAGTGACGGCTCGCCGACGACCATCACGTCCTGAAAATAATTAATCATTATATATATATATCTGGTTTTTTTTTTAAAGTTATGTATTGTTTTTGATTTTGAATTTTTGTGTACTCAAAACAATTTCAAAATATCTATCAAATGCTCCATCATCCTAGTAACATAGACTATATTTATTTTTGGAATCATTTTATATTTGAAAAACATTCAGCCGATAGAGGCCGCTATTTGCAATTGCTTGCTTTTTATTTTTTATCATAGTGACATAGACAAGAAGGTGATTCGCTATCAGTGCCTGATAGATTGTTTGATCTTAGGCATTCGGTAACAGCATCGGTTTTATCACTTATCACTTAGGGGTTTGAAAGATAGATAAGGGGGCGTCCATAAATTACGTGAGGTGTTTTTTTTAATTTTCTGTGACTCCCTCCCCCCCTGGTGAGATGTCGTGAGATTTTATTCAACCCCCTCCCCCATCCCACAATCTCACGTGAGATTTTTCGAAATGTGGGTTTGTTACGTAAACGCGTTGGATTTTTATTGTAAAAAGAAAAAAAAGTTGCTTCGTGCTTTTATTTACGACTAAAACAAAATAAGTGAAATGTTGAGCGTTTAGGCATGGAGTTGCAGAGATGGCCTTTAGGGTCAACGGTTTTCCTAAAAAACTTTTCAATCAGAAAAAAAATTGCGTGATATTTGCCGAGACCCCCCCTCTCTCCAACGTAAGATTAAATGAGATTTGACTGGACCCCCTCCCCTCCCTCCCTTAAACACCTCACGTAATTTATGGACGCCCCCTAAGTGATAAAGCCGATTCTCAGACTTACTGAATATGTATAAAAAATATGCGTTTCTGGCTAAAAGCGTATTTAGCGGTGCTTTTTACTTTCTATGTACACTGTTACCGAATGCCTTAGATCAAACGGATAGATCTTTCAAACGGATATATATTTTTCTTTGATAAGGAGTGTTCACCGCAAAAAAAAAATTTTTTAAACTAAGTTTTTTTGTTTTATTTTTGAAGTTATACTTCTTTAGGCACGTTATGAAAAAGTTATAAGAGTGACACAAAATTAACAGAATTAAATTGCCCACGGAAGATGCTACGGCATTGGACATAATTTAAAAACAACACTCGAATAATAATAGAATATGGTACACTTAATGTAAGAGAATAATAATAAATATTTATTTATTTAATTTTTCAAATGTAAACTGAACTGTATTGACTATAATGACTCCTTTTGCAGTCTTTGATTATTTAATTGTAATTAATTATTTGCATGCAATCAAAAACTATTTTTAATAATGCCAAAGAAGTATAACTTCTTACGCACGTACATAAGTACACGCACCCTTTTTTATTCTACAGCCTTAGGTTTATAAATCAATTGTTTATTACCTGTGAGGCAAGACTGAAGTTGGGTCCAGGTGATCGTTTCTTAGCGGGTGCGGGGGGTGCTGCGTTTGCGCCGGCGCTACCTTTGCGCTTACGACGCTTGCTCGCCGGACGTTGAGACTCTGTAATTAATATTAAATTAATGTCTAAAACTATATTAATCTTAAAATCCATTTATTTTTCCATTCCATTTGTTTGTTGCCCCATTTGTGAGCGTTCGAGTATTACGTAACGAATTTGGGGGGTCCTTTTGTAAACGATACGGGGTTATTACGCGTTATTGTTAATATTATTTTCGACTTTCCAGTAAATTTACACCACATAATGGTAACTTTTAGGTATAAAGAGTCACTGGGTGGTGGCGTTACGGCGTGTTACATGGGGGGGGGTCCAATAACCTCCAAAAATTGCGTGACGTAATACTTGAACGCTCCCTTTCCCATTAATTATTATTTAACTAAATTCTCACTTAAAAAAGTTAAAATAGTAACTTATTGCAAGAGAAAAACACTTTTTTAAATTAAGTGTTGGTGGGCCTTTAGTCTTAAAGCTGTAACCGTGATTTTCATAAACATTACATTTTCATAGGAATCTGTGAAGAAAGAGTACCATTATGGGAACTAATAGAATAATTTGCTATGCGTTATTTAATTTATTGACAACAATATACAGTGCCACAGACTTTTCATTGCCGCGGCTGAATTTGGTACTACCGTCATTTTGAAATGTCAGACTATTGTCAGTTAGCTCTCAATTTCTTGGTGTATACAATAATTAATTTAATATCTACTTGCATTAATACATGGCAAAGTTTTAGTTACCAAAAAGTTCTGATTGCTTAGGTATCTTAAAAGATTATTATATTAATATTACAGGTAACAAAACCTACCATATCAGTAATTCCTAAGTTTATGGCACATTTATTTAAGCCTAGAACTGTATCTTCTAGGCTTACATTGTTTTATTAAAACATTACAACAAATTATTGAGTTAGCCTGCACATATTTAAATTATTCCCCTTATAGTTAATTTTTATTTACTGGCAATACTATCAGTGACACTTTTACCGCCCAAGAAAAGTATGTGGCACTGTACTTTTTATTTTATTCATTAATATTCTTGGTGTTGTGATTACAAAAAGGTTTAATTTAAAGTAATTTCTTTGAGGTTTCTTTTCTGTAAACAATTTGTAAATTCGCTTGGGAACCCTTGTGCTTATTCCTCAAAGAATAAATACATATTATGGAAATGAATAAAATATGTTGGTTCGTACATGCATAATCAAACATACAAATCTAAAATTTAACCGTTGTCTTCATAAAGCATGCCTATATATTCTAAATGATCCATAATTTATATTAAAACGTGTCTTTGTGACTGCAATCACTAGGACATAAGATTTTTATGACTGTTTTTTTATGGAATTCAATACATTATTGAAGTACGGTAGTCGATCACACCTTATTAGTTTTTAGTAATAAATAGTAACAAAATCTGTTACACAGACACACACACACACAGACACATATATATATATAAAGAGAATGATCTCTTTAATTTGAATATTCGCGCGCACTGCTAGTTCGTGAGTGCGCCGCGTCGTGTCACGTCAAGCTAGCTGACATTGTCAAAGATGTAAAGGACAAATATGCTGAGATTGTTGAATTGTATTTTAATTTTATTTGTTAATTAATTTCATACTTAGTTAAGCTATATGCATCGAGAGGTGATAACAATGAACTTTTATTGTCGTTTCTTTACTTACAGGTAAGATTGTGTTAGTCTTGTAAGGATTGTACCAGTGTGTAACCTACTCGATAAATAAAATTGCATTCTTTACTTACAGAGAAACAAATAGAAGTTTTATTTAGCCTCTTGCAATTGAAATACAGACTATTGTCTTATAAAACGACAATACTTGTTTATAATGGCACAAAAATTGCAGTTTGCATTTAAGCTGGAAGCATCACAAACTGACAATAAGACGAGTGTAATTGCCATAACCTCAATTACAACAGAAGATGACAAAAAGTATACACTGTCTGAGACTGATAAATACGCGAGTCGTCATATAGCATTAACAAAAACAGAAACCTACAAAAGAGTGAGAAAAAGTTTAAATCAAAGAGGTCAAGAAAGAACAATATGGATGACATGTACAGAAGAAATGATTCAAGCCTATTTTGATGAAGATAATAATTTAATGTTTAACGACCTATATTTAAAAGAAGAAAAAAAACAAACAGATATTGTAGAATCCACACAGAAGAAAAAGGGTCTACTAAATTTGAAAAATATATCAGAAAGATTCATGATTGAGAAATTTGTATGTAAATTCTCAAATGCGAAACAGTGGATAGAAATATTCGAGAATGAATGTAAACGATTTGAGATTGAGGAAGATACAACAAAGATAGAAATATTAAGATTATTTTTGGACAAAACATGTGCAGATTGGCACTCGGCAACATTGAAGACTTTGAAAATCGAGGCTGGATGGTCCGAGTGGAAAAATAAATTTTTGGACACATTTGCCGATAAAGGATGGAGTTCGGGAATGTATGCCATATTTTACAAATATAAAGAAGGATCACTGATGGAATACGCCATTAGAAAAGAAAAGTTATTATTAGATATGGATGAAAATATTGGCGGGAAAAGTCTGGTCACACTTATAGCAGCCGGCTTACCTGAATTTATTAGAAACAGAATTGATCCTGAAAAGTGTGAAACCTCAACAAGATTGCTTCATGAAATAAGTAAATGTGAAAGTTTGGTAAATAATAAAAACTTCAAAATAAAAAAGGAAGAAAAAGATGACAACAAGAAATACAGTTTAGGAAAAAAACCATGCAAAACCTGTCAGAAATTAAATAAGGGCAATCGATACCACCCAGAACAGTCTTGTTGGTTTAAAAAAGAAGGGGCAGATAACAAAAGGATTGGAAGTAATTCGGTTATAGAAGTAAATCTAAGCGAAGAGACAAAAAACGAGTAATCACACCATTGATAAAAATAAATATGTTATTAGAAGACAAAATACAAATAAATGGAATATATGATTCAGGCTCACAAGTGTCTCTGATAAACAAAAGGTTAGTTAGAACACAGAATGATTCTGTGGATACAAATAGAATATTATTAAGAACTGTCAATGGTGTGACATACACAAAAGGTTTAATAAGAATAAAAGTAAAGATTTTTGATATAGAAGAATATGTTGATGTTTTTATTGTAGACAAACTGGATTTTGAAGATTTCATTATAGGAATAGATATGATAAAAAAATTTAAATTAGCTCAAAATGAAGATTTAAAAATTTTACAAAAGACAAAGAGAGAGATAAATACTATGAATGCATTTGAAGAGATAGAGGAAATTAAAGTCAATTTTAATGAGCATGTGAATAAAAATGACTTCATAACAAATCTACATCACTTGGACAATATCAAAAGTCCCGAATACACAATTTAATAGAGAATTATAATACTATATTTGCCAAAGACAAATATGATGTAGGTACAGTAACAGATTATGAAGCCCGGATAGACTTAATGGTGGACAAGTACTGTAGCAAAAGACCATATCGTTGCACATTAGAAGACAAAATAGAAATAGAAAAACAGGTGGGTAATTTACTAAAAAATAACTTAATTGAGGAATCATACAGCCCATTCGCAGCACCAGTTACCTTGGCATTTAAAAGAGACGAAAATACAAAATCGAGACTCTGTATTGATTTTCGTGAACTAAACAAGATAGTCATACCACAAGCACAACCATTTCCATTGATAAGCGACTTGATTGTTAAAGCAAGAAATTGTAAATATTTTACCACACTGGACATAAATTCCGCGTTTTGGTCTATACCACTACGTATTGAGGACAGACAAAAGACAGGATTTGTCACACAGGATGGACATTATCAATGGACTTGCCTACCATTTGGATTGAAAACATCACCTGCCATTTTCCAGAGAATTTTATCAAATATATTAAGAAATAATAACTTGAAAGACTTCACAGAAAATTACATTGATGATATCTTAATATTTTCACAATCGTTTGAAGAACATATAGATCACATAGAAAAAGTACTCAAAGCAATAATAAAAGAAGGATTCAGATTAAAATTTAAAAAATGCACATTTGCAGCAACATCAGTGAAATACCTAGGACATATAATAGGAAATAATACGGTAAAACCGCTCAAAGATAACATTATTTCAATAAGAAATTTCCCAACACCCAAAACCCGAAAGAATATTAGACAGTTTCTGGGAAAGATTAACTTTTACCACGAATATATACCAAATAGTTCGATATTATTGGATCCACTACATAAATTATTGAGGAAAGATGCCCAGTTTATATGGTCAGAAGAATGTGAAGAAACTTTTTCTAATATAAAAAATATATTATGCTCACAACCGGTTCTCGAAATATTTGATAAAGACCTGCCTATTACAATTTACACGGATGCCTCGTTGAATGGTATAGGTGCAATATTAAAACAGATTCAAAAAAATGGTAAAGAAAAACCAGTTGGCTATTTTTCAAAAAAACTCAATGATTCACAAAAAAGAAAGAAGGCAATATACCTTGAATGCTTAGCAATAAAAGAAGCTATCAAATACTGGCAATATTGGTTGATTGGAAGAAAGTTCACCGTTTTTTCGGATCACAAACCACTAGAAAACCTCAACATAAAGGCTAGAACAGATGATGAACTTGGTGAATTAACTTTTTATTTGTCACAATATGACTTCAACATCAAATATATTCCGGGGAAGAATAATACGGAAGCAGACAGTCTCAGTAGAAACCCAGTATTGGAAGATAATGATAATGATGAAGAAATTTTAAAAACGGTGAATCTGATAACAATAGATGATATTAAGGCAGATCAGCAGAAAAACGAGAAAATAAAGGAAAAGAAAACCAAAATAATCGAAAGAAATGGGATACTATACAAAAAGATCGAAACAGAGAAAAAGTTATATTATCTGAAGAAGCGAGTGTGAAATTAATAAAGGAAACACACACCGAATGGTGCCATTTAGGGATCAACCAAATGATAAATAAAATCAGTCCTTATTATACAGCAAAGAATTTAACGAGAAACATTAAAAGAATATGCAACAATTGTGAAACCTGTATAAAAAATAAATCGAGAGGCCAGGATAAATACGGATTAATGTCACATCTGGGACCAGCCGAAAAACCATTTCAGATAATGTCGATAGATACCATTGGTGGCTTTGGAGGACAAAGATCAACAAAGAAATACCTACACTTGTTAGTTGATCATTTTACAAGATTTGCGTTCATTCTGACATCAAAAACGCAAAATGCTGCAGATTTCATCAAGTTAGTAAAAAAAGTTCTGGAGACGGAAAACATTGAGATATTACTAGCAGACCAGTATCCAGGATTAAATTCAAAAGAATTCAAAGAATTTTTGACAGATAATAATGTAAAACTAATATTTACTGCGGTAGATACACCATTTTCAAACGGACTCAACGAAAGATTGAACCAAACACTGGTTAATAAAATGAGGTGCAAAATAAATCAGAAGAATGAAAAGAAATCCTGGACGTCAATTGCAAGAGAATGTATAGATAAGTATAATGAAACCGAGCATACAGTGACAGGCTTTGCACCAGTATATCTATTAGAAGGAAAAGTCACCAGCATTTTGCCACAAGAACTACGACAACCATTAGATACAGAAACTTGGGTTCAAAATAGACAACAAGCACTTGAAAGATCAATTAGATCACATGCATATAATAAGAAATTATTTGATAAAGGCAGAAGACAATGTGAATTCAACATAGGAGAACTGGTATATGTTGAAAACGGAAACAAATTAAATAGGAAAAAAATGGACAATTTAAGAATCGGCCCATTTAAAATAACAGACAAAATATCGAATACAATATACAAAATAAACACAGGCAGAACAAAAACGAATACAAGCTTATACCATATAACAAAACTTATTCGAATGGACGGTGGAATAAATGATGGATAACGCTGAATAATATGTACGGCTACCATGAGAATTACTGGAGCAATTCTCATCCTGAAGGAGGGAGATGTAAAGAGAATGATCTCTTTAATTTGAATATTCGCGCGCACTGCTAGTTCGTGAGTGCGCCGCGTCGTGTCACGTCAAGCTAGCTGACATTGTCAAAGATGTAAAGGACAAATATGCTGAGATTGTTGAATTGTATTTTAATTTTATTTGTTAATTAATTTCATACTTAGTTAAGCTATATGCATCGAGAGGTGATAACAATGAACTTTTATTGTCGTTTCTTTACTTACAGGTAAGATTGTGTTAGTCTTGTAAGGATTGTACCAGTGTGTAACCTACTCGATAAATAAAATTGCATTCTTTACTTACAGAGAAACAAATAGAAGTTTTATTTAGCCTCTTGCAATTGAAATACAGACTATTGTCTATATATATATATATATATATATGTGTCTGTGTGGCTATTTAAGCAAACATGACTAATAGAAATGTATAAATACTTTGAAATATTCAAAGTTAAAAAAACCATGCTGTCACCGAAATGACTATATTTTTTAAATCTAACTACCAGGATCACATAACATGCAAGCAGTTTCTAGCTAAACGTTTTAATTAATTAATTTAAAACGTTTAAATAAATTTAATTTAAACTAATTGTACTAAAGTCTAAGTTGTACTTAAAACAAATGAGTGAAAATTAAAAAAAACTCGCGAAATTAATTGACGTAAGTATCGTATTGTTTCGCTTTTAATGTATTATTATTAAAAATGTCTTAGAAAAGTAAACAGAACTGGGCTACTATTTTTTTTTAATAATAAAAAAAATGAGCCGGTATTAGAACTTCCTAATTAGTAAGTAACACTGATATGGATATTTTCGTATAAAAATTTAACGCTCTTGTCTCAATATCTCAAGATCGCGTGTTACAACACTTTAAATTGAGGTGGGGCAAATTACATAATACGGGCGCTGAATAAACTCGTAAGAAATATATATTTAACTTTTCTTTAAATAATGTGTGCTTGTATTATCGTATGTTTTAATTGTATTTTTTTAATTTCTATTTAATTTTTTTTTTGAGGAACTTATGCTTACATTAATTGTTACACATTTTAGATGTAAGATTTTGTAAAATAATTAGTAGTTTTAGGACTGTGTGTGATGTCGTAAGCTTAATAACTAAATAAATAAATAAAACGATTTTTGACACTTTTAGTTTAACGGAGTACTCGGTTTTGTCATATTAAGCCATCAAAAACTACCAGGATCACATAAATGGACCGATACTATCTAACTACCAATAGCGATATCAAAGTTTTTGGTCCTATGGCCATAAACCATAGCAGTGATGTAACAATTCCTATTGGGAGTTCGAGAAGCCACTCATAAATAAATTGTGCGTGTACTAGGTGTACACACGTAAGAAGTGAAACTTCTTTATGATCTTATTTTTCGAAAAATGATCTACTATATGCAACTTTACAGAAATTCGTTAAATTAGATAAAGTTTAACAAAAGGCTTTTATTATCATAGACATGAATACAAATATTTCATTTTACCTTATTACTACGAAGATTATTATAGAATTTCATTAATTGTAATAGAATTATTACTATCATTGAAAAACGTGACGATTTGCTACAAAATTTCTCCCATACGTCGATAAAGAAGTTTCATTCCAACGCCGATAAAGAAGTTTGACTTCAAAAAGCAACATGGCGCGTAACCGAAAAATGTGACGCGTAACGAAAAAATGTTACACTAAATTTTTTTCCAACCTCGATAAAGAAGTTCCACTTCAAAAATTCAAAATTACCAGGATCACATAAACGGACCGATACTCTCCAACTACCAATAGTGATTGATCTCAACGTTTTTGGTCCCATGGCCATAGCAATGATGTTAAGGCATACAATTCCTATTGGGAGTTAGGGAATCTTGTTAAAAGCCCTCATAATAAATTCAAAAACTACCAGGATCACATAACATGCGTACAGTTCTAGCGGTAAACGTACGTGTGGCCTTACCTGGCGGCGCGACCATCCGCTGCCACTTCTGGAAGAGCGTGGTCTTGAGGCAGTCGCGTGGAGACAGCGCGTACGCTTTGTGCCTCGACATTAACTCTTGCATTGGTTCTAGTATCACGCACAACTGGAAAAAGAAGAAATATTTTTTAGTATTTTCAAGAATATCCAAAAATTGCGTGACGTAATAGTTTACAGACAACCATTTTTGAAGTTATACTTCTTTAGGCGCGTAATGAAAAATTGATGAGAGTGAAATTTTACGATTCGCGCGCACCGTGACACAAAATTTACAGAAGAAAGTTAGCCCACGGAAGATGCTACGGCATTGGACATAATTTAAAAACAACATTCGAATAATAATAGAATTTATGTTACACTTAATGTAAGAGAATAATAATAAATATTTATTTAATTAATTTTGCAAATGTAAACTGAACTTTATTGACTATAATGACTCCTTTTCCAGTCTTTGATTATTTTATTGTAATTAATTATTTGCATGCAATCAACAACTCGTATTTTTAATAATGCCAAAGAAGTATAACTCCTTACGCGCGTACATAAGTACACGCACCCTGTTTTTTATTGTAATGGGTGGCAAACGGGCACGAGGCTCACCTGATACCGCCGCCCATGGAAACTCACATAACCAGAAGGCTCGCAAGTGCGTTGCCGGCCTTTTAAAAATTGGTAGGGGGTTTTTTTTAAAGGATCCTAAGTAGGATTGATACTTCAGTGGGTAGCTGGTTCCAAATTGGTGGTGGCGGCAAAAACTGCCTTAAGAAACGCTCAGAGGAACTTCGGACCACTATTATATACTTTTACTAGCAGACCGGCCAAGCGTTGCTGTGGCTAAGGTTTTTGTTATTTTACATAGTAGTAAACTATTCAAGGGAAACGGTTGGAGAACACCAGTCATGAGGACCACCATGCTTTTTTGGTGGTTATGCCATTAAATTGTAGCTTATGTGAAACGTTGGTACTTTCAACACAGCGCCATCTGTTAGAATTGTGACTATCAAATAATTTGCAATAAAATAATATTGCGGGTATAAATTGAGATATAAGCTATCCTATCTTTTAAGTTAGATCAAACTGCACACGGTGTGCAAATTTCATTGAAATCGGTTAAGTAGTTTACAACGTGACGCCTTATTTATATATATTAAGATTAAATTCCATAAATTTCAATAAGCGGAGGTTGTAAGAAAAATAAGACTATAGTTATTAGTTTTTGTAATTAGACACGGCTAAACATGTTTTACTAAAACAGAAAAACCAGTAGTGCTACAACCTTTTTAGGTCTGGGCCTCAGATTTCTGTATCTGTTTCATTATCATTTGTCAATCTAATAGGCAAGTAGGTGATCAGCCACCTGTGTCTGACACACGCCGTCGTTTGGGTCTAAGGCAAGCCGGTTTCCTCACAATAATTTTCTTTCGTTCGAGCGAATGTTAAAAAAGCGCATATAAAGTCCATTGGTGCACAGCCGGGGATCGAACCTACGACCTTATGGATGAGAGTCGCACGCTGAAGCCACTGCTCTGCTGCTGCACAGAAACACATGAACATATTTTATGTAAAATCCCAATTGGAGGGTACTTGCAAAAGAACATACCCTTAAATAGTTGAGCGTTGAGTTAGTGATTCCCTGGCGGGTAATGTTCTTCGCGAGCTGGTCCAGCGAGGCGTGGTCCGGCGGATGGACCGCCTGTCGCGGGATCAGCTCCCGGTGAGCGCGTACCGCCATATGCCACGATTTTATACGCATCAGATCGTCGAATGTGAACTCCAGGATTAGCCGACCTTCTGTACACACCTGGAAAAGTTAAAGATTGGATAATGTATAATTGTATATTTTACTACCAGAATCCCTTCTGGTAGTAAGTTCTCGCTTCTAGAAAGCTGTCTAAAGTAAGTTATATTACATATGTATATATTATATATGTAATGAAATCAAGCTAAAGGAGTCATTTTGAAACTATTGTAAAACCAAATTTCGTCGTGGATATCTTAAAAACTACTAAATCAATTTTGATGAAACTTACACCGTTAGGGAACAGTCAGACAGATTAAAACAGACATCGTTTCCAAGAGATTTGTGGACATTCATACACTTAAAGATAACACACAGACACATGCTTGCCAAACACAATCATATATATATGTCGTCCCCATTAACCATTGTTACAAATAACAAAAAGTCCGTGCGTACCAAGTACATAATATGTCAGCAGTGAAAATTCTTTGGCAAACTAACTTTTAAGTCTTGTTCATATTTATACAAATCTAAAACTCTAGATTTCCGAGACTTAGAGAGAGGGGAAAAACGAAGGTATGTTAGGAATTTAATGAATTTAATTGTCATTAAATATTAAGTGTCGAAAATTTATATGTACAAATTATAAATTTATTTTTTTATTTATTATTGGAATTTTAATTTACAATTCGTCATTTGAGATTTCAATAAATTATTTTGCATCAAATATAAAATATAATATTTCATAAATTCTCTTTACAAAATTTAATTTTAAAAATAGAATTTCTATAAGGTAATTCACCCTTCTCACTCTCTCTCAATCGGTCACAATCGCTCTCTCCCTTTCGACAAAAACGCTGCACATCTTCGTGACGTTACAAAAGAATTTACGCCCTCATGCGCCTAAACAAGTTTCACTTCAAAAGTACCAGGCATACATAAGTCAACAAGAGCATACCTTAGTGAACATCGGTTTCCCGTGATGCGTGACCATCGTACAATGATCGCAGTCTAATGTGATGCTGGTATTGTGAAACGACTCCTTCGGCTGTCTCATTGTGTAATACAACTCTGATACTCCACCCTCGTATATACTACGGAAGTATCGCGGTATGAGCGTCCTTCCTATTGCTGAAAATGATATACAGGTTTGTTAGATACAATGACTCCAACATATTATATCTTAATATATATAAACTAGCTGACCCGACGTTTTGCCATGTATATTATTTCTAATAAACATTTTTTTAGTTCAATAAAAATAACTATCTACCATAATAAAAAATAGGGGTTGATTATAGAGGGTAGATGAAAATTAAGGGTTGTATGTATTATGGTTTGTGAGTTTGGTGGACACCCCTTATCACTTAGGGGTTTGAAAGATAGATAATAGCCGATTCTCAGACTTACTGAATATGGATAATAAATTTCATAAGAATCGGTCGAGCCGTTTCGGATGAGTATAGGAACGAACATTGTGACACGAGAATTTTATATATTAGATTACGCGTCACGTTGTTTCCGCTATGGACTCCTAAGCTACTTAACCGATTTCAATTTACTGATGGTAACTTTTAGGTATATAGTCACTGGGTGGTCACGAAACGTTTTACTATTGGGTACAGAAAAACGTTACGGTGCGTTACAGGGGGTGGGGGGTCAATAAACTCCAAAAATTGCGTGACGTAGAACGCTCCCTTATAGATTACTTACTGTATCGTTTGGGTCCATCTTCTAAACAGAAGGTAAGTGTTAGCGTCGCGTCGTCTTCAAAGAATTCCGTCGCGAACGCGTCCCACCATAAATTATCAGAGTCCTGGAATAATATAAATAAGTTTTAGTATTATTAAAGAAAATTTTGAAAAGCGCCATCTAGTTGGCTATAACGAAATTTCGTTTAGCGCCATCTAGTTAGCAAAGAAGAAAACTTTTGTGATAAGTAAATTTGTTTATAATAGAATTTATGGTTTAAATATTTGAATGGATAAAATAAACATTTATTGGGAGTATTCATTTTTACAAAATAGCCAGTTTACAGCTTAGTAATGTTTATTTAAGTTATAACTGAATTTGAATATAAATCTTCTGAGCCACAATCTAATTTCATTTTAATTTAGTCAAAACAGTAATTTTGTTGTTTTCACTTATAAACCTGTATTATGAGCTTGCAATTTTCAAGAATATTTTTTTAAATTACAGTTGTTTTTTATTGCACAACTAAGAAATTTAGTTTAGTCGGTTATAACGAAATTTCATTCAGCGCCATCTAGTTAGCAAAGAAGAAATCTCGCGTAATGCTACAGCCAAGTAATTTTATTATTATAGAATTTATGATTTAAATATTTAAATGAATAAAATAAATATTTAATGTAGTAATTAGTTATGTTTATTTAAGTTATAACTGAATTTGAACATAAATCTTCTGAGCTTTTAATCTAGTCAAAGCAGACATTTTATTGTTTTCTCGTATGTAAGCTTTCAATTTAAAAGTATATTTTTTTTAATTGTAGTTGTTTTTTATTGCACAACTAAGAAATTTACGGTCTGTTTAGTGATATTCTGATAAAATTTAATTCTCATTAAGTCCAATGATAAACAGGTCTTATAACACAGACTTAGGGCTCCCACACAAAACTGCGAATTCACATCGCATCGCAAATATCTGCGAATTCGCGCGAACGCACCGCAAGAAGTTCCGATCTGCTTCGCATCGCACATTCTTGCGATATTACGTCATCCTTGGTGACGCCAATTTAGTCCGCCCTGAGACAGCTTTAGAGAAAGACGCGCGGCGCCTCCGCCGCCATCTTTGTTTATAAAAATAATATGAATATCATATGAATTTTGTAATTGAGGAGCGTCCCGTCCTTTGGGACACAAGTGATGAACATTGTAAAAATAAATTTATTAAGCAAGATGCGTGGAAGAGCGTCTGTGAAAGCTTGCATCAGAGTTCATAATCGTAATAAATGGATGAACCCAGAATCTTCTTTTTCTTTTATATCTATTCAACAATAACAGCAGTGCAATAATCTTTTTGCGATCCATCTTACGCTTCCTAAAAACACGTCCAGTACGGCTGACTACGAAGGAATGGTCGCCCTACCAAACGGTTTGCCGCACTAAATCGTATCGCAGGTATTTGCGATGCGATTTCGCATCGCATCGCATCGCAGTTTTGTGTGGGAGTCCTTAGAGTTAAGACTAAATGTATTAGATGACATAAAATAGGATTTCTTCTCACCTCTGTCCTCTGTTGTAATCTTTTATTGAGTTCATATACTCTGTAGTCTGGCTGTCCGAAGTACGGCGCATGCCTCCTGAAACATTCGTTTAATATAGTTAGTTCACATTATTTATAATCTTAATATATATAAATTACGCGTCACGTTGTTTGTCCGCTATGGACTCCTAAACTACTTAACCGATTTCAATGAAATGTGCATACCGTGTGCAGTCTGATCTAAGTTAAAAGATAGGATGGCTTACATCTTAATTTATGTCCGCAATATTATTTTATTGCAAAATATTTGTTTATTATTTGATAGTCACAATTCTAACAGATGGCGCTGTGTTGAAAGTACCAACGTTTCACATAAGCTACAATTTAATGGCATAACCACCAAACAAGCATGGTGGATTGGTGTTCTCCTGCCGTTTCTCTTGAATAGTTTACTACTATGTAATATAACAAAAACTTTAGCCACAGCAACGCTTGGCTTAGCTGTTAGTAAAGTAATATTTTTGAAGTTATACTTCTTTTGGCGAGTTAAGGAAAAATGATGCGAGTAAATTTTTCGACGCGTGCGCACACCGTCACAAAAAACCGACACCCTGAAGTTGGCTATAGTCGACATTTTTTGTAAAAAGTTATACTTCTTCTGGCGCGTTAGAGAAAAATGATGAGAGTAAATATTTACGATGCGCGCGCACACCGTCACAAAAAACCGACACCCTGAAGTTGCTATAGTCAACATTTTTTTTTAAAGTTATACTTCTTCTGGCGCGTAAGAGAAAAATGACGCGAGTAAATTTTTACGACGCGTGCGCACACCGTCACAAAAAACCGACACCCTGAAGTTGGCTAAAGTCAAAATTTTTTGTAAAAAGTTATACTTCTTCTGGCGCGTTAGAGAAAAATGATGAGAGTAAATGTTTAAGATGCGCGCGCACACCGTCACAAAAAACCGACACCCTGAAGTTGGCTATAGTCAAATTTTTTTTTTAAAGTTATACTTCTCTCTGGCGCGTTAGAGAAAAATGATGAGAATATTTTTTTTCTATTGTTAGTGTCGCTTTTTCTACAAACGTAGAATAAAAATATCGAAATTTTTGTGCCATGGCCATTTCTAAAATTCTTACGCCATGGCCATTTCTAAAATTCTTACGCCGGCCCTATCTAACATACATAATTTAAAAAAAAAGTGCGTGCGCACAAAGTACACGTCAGAAGTGAAACTTCTTTGGCAAACTAATTTTTAAGTCTTGTTCATATTTATACAAATCTAAAACTTTAGATATCCGAGACTTAGAGGCAGGGAAAAATGAAGATATGTTAGGAATTTAATGAATTTAATTTTTAAAATTTATTTCTTCGATGATAAAAGCACGTGGCATTTTAATTTACAATCCGTTATTTGAGATTTCAATAAATTATTTAGCATAAAATATAAAAATTCTAATATTTCATAAATTCTCTTTACGAAATTTTAGTTTAAAAAATAGAATTAATATAAGTTTATTCGCCCTTCTCTCTCTCAATCGGTCTTAATCGCTCTCTCCCTTATCTTCGACAAAAACGCTGCACATCTTCGTGACGTTTCCATAAAAATTTTTACCCACAGGCGCCTAAAGAAGTTTCACTTCAAAAATTAATTGTACGCTTAAGAAACTTAAATGATAGGGTTTAAATCATTAGGAAATCGTAAAACACAGTAAATAATTTTTAAAACATAATGAAAAACGTCGAGTTCAAAGTGCCGTTGGGAAACACTGAGTTACACCGTACACGTTCGCTTTCGAAAAGTATTCGTATAGTTTACTCGTTACGAAAACGGTTTTTGTGGTATCGCAATATCGTCAATAACCTATTTGATTTCGTAGTTATAATAGCATAAAAAAATATAAATGTGGTGTCGTGGGACACCAGGTAGGAACGAAGTTCCTTCGTCTAATGTAGAATTGACACAATTTGCAAATCTCTTAAAAGACTTGAGAAAAAAAATACAAACATGAGGGAAGCAATACCACCTTTTCAACGGCTAAACAACTATAAATTCTCTTTCCTTAACATTCGTATTATTTTTTCCTGCCATTTTTGGGAAGCGTGCACGCGTGTGACCTCCTTGCCGACGAAACACAGACTAAAAAAATATTGCGCAATACTCGCTTGTGTACACGACTGTCGCGCCTGCGCACGTCTCATTTAACGGTTTTATTCCACGGACTTTTTCTTACGATTTTCCTATCACATTATTTTCAGTTCGGTCGCGCAGCAGAATCCCTATCTCCTCCTAGCCTGCCGTAAGGAACTTCGTTCCACAAAATATATAAAGAAAACTTTTAATTTGTAATCTATTCAAGTATAGTTAATTTACGAAGCCAATTCATTTTGAATTCATTTTCTGTAAGAATAGATAATTGAACGGTTTCGTATGAATCATCTATATAAATAAAAATATCTATACTAATATTATAAAGAGGAAAGATTTGTATGTAAGTTTGTTTGTGACGAATTGGCTCAAAAAGTACTGAACCGATTTTAAAAATTCTTTCACCATTTGAATGCTACATTATCACTGATTCATATAGGCTATTTTAATTGCAAGAAATAAATAAGGATCCTTACTAAAACTACAATAATGTTAACCAAGGTGTAAAAAAAGGCCTACAAAATATCTTTCAGCGCATGCGCTGCGAAAATTGACGATAGAACAAAAAATGTTCCACAATCAGTGGCGTAACTATACCATCTGGGGCCCGTGGCAAATCTTCTTTCGTGACAATTATTTTGGCCTATCAGTAAAAATTGTCACGTTGTATTCAGAGTACTCAGTTACACGTTGTATACGTCCCACTAATAGCCATAGGCCTCCTCTCTTAGGCGAGAGGGAATGGTCTGTAGTCCCCACGCTGGCCCAATGCGTATTGGAGACTTCACATTCATCCATAGAACATAATATCTCTTGGAGACGGGCCCTCTTGGGTCGGGGTCCCGTGGCAGTTTTTTTTTTATTTTGCCAGTCCTGCCACCCTATTGCTACGCCAGTGTCCACAATATTAAAGAACATATCAATATCTACAAAAATGTTTAAAAAAAAAATCCATCCGTGCGAAGCCAGGACGGCCGCTAGTGTAAGATAATAAGACCGCAGAGTAATTGTTTTTATTTTTTTACTCCTTGAACACTGAGGAAGGTTTTCATGAAGAGAAAAATTTTAAAAATTTAACGTTTTTCCGTTAAAAACCAGTTTTATTCCGGAAAAGCGAACAGTCTAGTCTAGCATAATGTTCTATATGTATTAAAAAGGTAGGCTACGTATAATCTATTAGTGAAACGAAGTTCGCGGCTTATAATAAAGTATTATACAAAAAGCAGCATTTTTTTTTATAGAACAGGAGGCAAACGGGCAGGAGGCTCACCTGATGTTAAGTGATACCGCCGCCCGTGGACACTCTCAATGCCAGAGGGCTCGCGAGTGCGTTGCCGGCCTTTTAAGAATAGCATGTGCAAGGAAAGGCAGACGACAGAACCCCAAGATTCTTACTGAACTCATAAGAGATCCAATAGACCGAGGCTGCGTTGGTAGTTGTCAAGAACCTCTAAACAGGTGTTCGGAGTTGGACGCAAGGAGATAATACGGAGGCCCATAAGGCCATAACATAGTTTTCTAATTAATTTGCGATATTTGTTTTAAATAAGTGTTGTTTGATGATTTGCTGTTTTAAAAGAGTACCGAGAGTTTTTTACGCCGGCTTTTTCTCTCGGCCTACACCCTCTGTCTTTGTCGATGAGTAGGGATGCCTACAAATTCAAATTTAATGACGTGGAATAAGTGATACATGTATCTTATGTTCCATAATAAACATATTTTATTTATTTTTATTTATAGTGTAGTCTGCTTCCAGCTTAGGTCTACCCAAAGAGACCAACAACTTTTAAATTCAATAAACCATAATTTTTGTCCATGGATGTTTTGTCTTTGGATGACCTTAAATTAATGGTCAGTGGAGAACAACTATATTATTATACATAAGCAATCCCATCACACTTTGAGTTTTTATGTTTTTTTTTTAATATATTTTTTTTGTATCAGTGCCGAGCAGTACACTCAGAGAGCAATGTTGGCCTAGTGGCTTCAGCGTGCGACTCTCATACCTGAGGGCATAGGTTCGATCCCCGGCTGTGCACCAATGGACTTTCTTTCTATGTGCGCATTTAACATTTGCTCGAACGGTGAAGGAAAACATCGTGAGGAAACAAACATGTCTTAGACCCAAAAAAGTCGACGGCATGTGTCTATTAGATTTAAAAATGATCATGAAACAGATTGAGATATCTGAGGCCAAGACCTAAAAAGAGGTTGTAGCGCCACTGATTTTTTTTATCAGTGCCGAGCGTTGGCAAGCTTTTATAAATAATAGTAATAACTAATAATAATTAAAAAATAATATTCAGAAAATGTAAAAAGTTTGGTCTCCGTGGCAGTGTACCTTTAACGCTGAAATTGCTGTATTGTGATACTTATTGAGTTCTGGCTCAACGGTCACCAGTGTTACCAGGCGCCAACTTAAATCTTCAATTAGCACCTGTGCTCCAATAATGTCTAACGCTCGTTGGCATCAAGCTGCGACTGACAACGTGGATTCTCAAATCAAGAGTCAGAATTTGAACATACAATTCCCACTAAGGGTAATAAAGAAACGGTAAAAGTTGGCGCCAATTCTAACTCTCGTAGGTCAAATGTATTAAATTTTGACAAATTGAAGTATCCTCCATATTCGATTCCGTATCTCAAGTCACAGACTCGTCTAGTGAGCTGTCTAATGTCAATCTTCATATGGAAAAAATTGTTTGACAAATGACAGCTCTTGAAGCTAGATTTAAATTTGATTGACGTTCTATTTTACCTAAGGAGTCGAAACGGATATTATACCGACTCCAACTACGCCTATTCGATAAAAAAATCTCTTATAACCGCCTGTTTAACACTCACACAACGTTTTTGAAGTTATACTTATTTAGGCGCGTTATGAAAAATTGATGAGAGTGAAATTTTACGATGCGCGCGCACCGTGACACAAAATTAACAGAATGAAGTTGCCCACGGAAGATGCTACGGCATTGGACATAATTTAAAAACAACATTCGAATAATAATAGAATTTATGTTACACTTAATGTAAGAGAATAATAATAAATATTTATTTATTTAATTTTTCTAATGTAAACTGAACTTTATTGACTATAATGACTCCTTTTCCAGTCTTTGATTATTTAATTGTAATTAATTATTTGCATGCAATCAACAACTATTTTTAATAATGCCAAAGAAGTATAACTTCTTACGCGCGTACATAAGTACACGCACCCTTTTTTGTACTTAACTTAAATAAATACGACACATTGTACTTTCTTTATACCTTAGTTTTTCAGTGTAAGAATGTAATAAATTTCATAACAGAATTTATCTTTACCGAAAGTATGGATCCGGTATGGTATGATAAATGGGCGGCGGCGCGTACTCATGGTACTGGAGGTGTTGGTGCGGTGAGATGTGGTGGTACTCGCCCTCACCGCCGAGCGAGCCCAGCGCGACTGGCATGTAGGCCACTTTGTCACCGCGCCATCTATCGGCCGCGTGAAACACCTGCCCCTCTATGTCTTGTGCACTTTTTCAAATTTCGAATATCAAATCTTAACAAACAATACGTGTTCCTTTTTTGAATTCACAATTTTTAGCGTCAATTTTTAATTTAAATGACGAAACTCGACTGTTTCGTGTTTTAATTTCACACACAAATGTTCGTTGAACCGATAATTTTCGTAATATCACAATAAATTTGATCACAAAAAATAAATAGGGTTTTGAAAGCGCTATTCACTTAGTTTTCACATATAATTCTTTCAGTTTCACTTTACCACAATCACTTAGTTTAGTTCACTAGAAAAGCAATTAATAAAAGTTTAAAACAAAAAACGAAACATTAAACGCTTAAAATAGTCTAAATAATCAAAATTAACTAATAAAAACTCACGAAATGCAAAAAAAAACTATTTAATTACGCAAATGAAACAATTCCATCGACAAATCATGTACGCCATAGAAACTCGCTAACACGACTGATAAAATTTCGAATTTTTCGCGCGGGAAGCGCCATCTCAGCGTGAAGAACGTCCTAAATCCATTATATACTTGACACTGATACGCGATTGTGGCCCCTAACTCAATGCAACAGAGGCGATAAGCTCTTAGATAGTTGAGTACACGTAAGCGCGGCAACGTCGCGTCAGCTGGCGATAGAATTGCGTTCGGAAAGGTCAACAATTCAACGTTGTATTTTTTCTACCGGTTATTTTCGTGTAAGTTTGTTTGTTTTCGCTACAATTTTGCCTTTGTGCTTATGCTTTAGTTCCGCATTCCACTAATGTTTACATAATATCTAATTATGAGTTTTTTTTTATTAAGAGATTTTATTTAAATACACTGTACATATTAACATTTATGATGCAATATAATTTACATAAAATTCGCCTCTATAGTAGTGCTATAAAAAGATTTACAACACTAGAATTCCACATGTAAAATATAGATAGGTAAAAAGAGCATTGTTTTCACCGGCACGGCCTCGCGCGACGTTGCCGCACCGTGCTCTCGCGCCATACTTTTTACTGTTTCTTAGCACATAGAGCGCTCATTACCGCACGCACACATAGACCGGACGCGTACACATAATGCAGTACATAATATACATTCCGCTACGAACATAGGTATGTAGGTGAGCTACGACGCGGTACACAAATCAAACAGTGTGTTATAAATAACTAGCGGAGATGTGTCCGTGAAACTCGTCACATTTTATGTGTTTAATAACGATTTTTTATTATTTAAATATAAAGACAACAATATATCGTTGGAATAGTTAAAATACAAACTAGGTAATTGACGCGTCGTTCTAATATAACTTCAAGGATTTTTAGCAAAAACTAAAAGAAACAAGGGCTGTTTTTGCAGTAACCGACGTCATGCTAACGTTCGACACGCTCAAATAAATCAATAAACGTCATTCGCAATTAAAAATGGAACACCGGGTTGCGCGGGAAAATTATCGCTTTATTTTTTTTCAGCCAGCAACACGAAAAAATAATTGCACATAATACACAGATAATTGCACACACGTCAAACGCGATCGATACAAATGACTACCAGCACTATTCGCTCCAGTTTCGGCACAAACTTGTTGCTAACACGAGAATAACCGGAACCGTAGCCACCAAGTCTTATCGCGAGACCAAACAACATTGATAAGACAATGCAGTCGCGAAAAAGCGGGCGTATTAGCGTAGAGTCAGCAACCGAATGTATGTCACGCCGTGTCAATGACTTTAGCCGGTAAACAGTGCCTACACGTGCGCGGGGGACGCGAAATCGAAGAGCGACTAGATAATCTGTCAATCAGCAGAGACAACGCCATTTGACAGCTGTCACAGATGACGCGGAATTCCGCTGATGACGTACTAATATGGCCGGTGTGGCGGGTGATTGTGTACAATTTATTGCTTTTATACGAAGATGTGTAACATAAATAAAATTTTCAAATATTTTTTCTAATTGCGCAAAACATCGTTTAATCAGATATTTCAAATATTTTTTATTATTATTTAAGTATCGGTATGTGACCTAAATTAAATAAGAACATTACGCCAAAGGTAAAGTTCCTGGCTTCGATTCCTGGCAAACAATTTGTGGTGCACTTACAAAAATCATCAGTGTATGCTACTTGGTTTGAACATAAAATTTGGAGCAAGTAAAAGCAGATAAACCAGTGTCTAGTGGCTTCAGTGTTCGACTCTCATCCCTGAGATCATAGGTTCAAGCCCGGCTGTTTATTGTTGCAGCTATTCTATGCGCATTTAACCTTCGCTCGAACGCTGAAGGAAAATATCGTAAGGAAACCGGCTTGTCATAGACCCAAAGTCGACGGCGTGGCATAGGATGCTGATTACCTACTTGCCTCAAAAGGTAGCGTCATTGATTTATTTGAAAAGCAGAGAAATCATTATTTTATGTATTATATAATACTGGTATGTACTAAAACGGACAAACAAATAGATCAAACATCAGCCGTACTGTAAATAAATGTCTAGTACACATAGGGAACATGTTAGGCCCTCTACGCCTGCTATATTTGACTAAAAAATGGCCATGAATTCGATTCCCGGCTAATATGTAAAAATAGGTATACAAATGTGATATTAATCTAATATATAAAATTCTCGTGTCAGAGTTTTCGTTGCCATACTCCTCCAAAACGGCTCGACCGATTCTCATGAAATTTTGTGTGCATATTGGGTATGTCTGAGAATCGGACAACATTTATTTTTCATCCCCCTAAATGTTAAGGCTAGTCCACCCCTAAATATTTTTTTTTTTATTTTTCGAGATTTTTTTCTGTTTTTATTTTTGTATGATACAGCATTAAAAAATACATACAAACCCCTAACTTTCACCCCTCTACAATCAACCCCTATTTTTTTATTATAAATGATATATATGGCAAAACGACGTTTGCCCGGTCAGCTAGTCTAATATATAAAATTATCGTGTCACAGTTTTCGTTGCCATACTCCTCCAAAACGGCTCGACCGATTCTCATGAAATTTTGTGTGCATATTGGGTATGTCTGAGAATCGGACAACATTTATTTTTCATCCCCCTAAATGTTAAGGCTAGTCCACCCCTAAATATTTTTTTTTTATTTTTCGATATTTTTTTCTGTTTTTATTTTTGTATGATACAGCATTAAAAAATACATACAAACCCCTAACTTTCACCCCTCTACAATCAACCCCTATTTTTTTATTATAAATGATATATATGGCAAAACGACGTTTGCCCGGTCAGCTAGTCTAATATATAAAATTATCGTGTCACAGTTTTCGTTGCCATACTCCTCCAAAACGGCTCGACCGATTCTCATGAAATTTTGTGTGCATATTGGGTATGTCTGAGAATCGGACAACATTTATTTTTCATCCCCCTAAATGTTAAGGCTAGTCCACCCCTAAATATTTTTTTTTTATTTTTCGATATTTTTTTCTGTTTTTATTTTTGTATGATACAGCATTAAAAAATACATACAAACCCCTAACTTTCACCCCTCTACAATCAACCCCTATTTTTTTATTATAAATGATATATATGGCAAAACGACGTTTGCCCGGTCAGCTAGTCTAATATATAAAATTATCGTGTCACAGTTTTCGTTGCCATACTCCTCCAAAACGGCTCGACCGATTCTCATGAAATTTTGTGTGCTTATTGTGTATGTCTGAGAATCGGACAACATCTATTTTTCATCCCCCTAAATGTTAAGGGTAGTCCACCCCTAAATTATTATTTTTTTAATTTTTAGATAAATTACTTATTTTTTATTTTTTTATGATACAGCATAAAAAAATACATACAACCCCTAATTTTCACTTCTCTACGATCAACCCCTATTTTTTATTATGAATGATATACATGGCAAAATGACGTTTGCCGGATCAGCTAGTTATCATAATAATAAAAACAGTTAACTATATTTGGTTGGTTGTTGTTGGCGTGTCATATACAATGATACACTCTACATAACATTACACCCACTCTCAATAACGACAACAATTAAATACTAAAAAGTACTTTTTAAGTTGCCGAAATTAGCTAAAACTAATCTAAACCGGAGCTGTGAACCTCTTTTGTCGCTTTATTGTCCTAGCGAGAAATAAACTCAACTGTCGGTACTCGTCACACGTACGAACTTTCCAAGAAATCCGTTCTTTTGTTTACAAATTGGGATTGCTTGAGCGTGATTTATGAATAACATATAAATAAAAATACAGTCGTTAATTTGAATCACTCGATTATTTGAATTTTTTTCCGGTCCCTTGAAAAATACTCGATTAATTGAATAAAATCAATAATAATTGGTCCCTTCGGTAATTTGAAGTTGAAAAAGTATTATCTTGCTCGCCAACATGCGATAATTTGAAATCCGGTCTTTTTTACTCTATATAATTTGAAGCGTTTATCATGCACAGACTTGGCAATTGTTCACATAAATGGGTGACATGTGACGATTACTTTGCAGCTCTCACCACCATCGAAAATTCTTTGGACAATGATAAATTGAAGTCACTCACTCAAAAAAAGATTACAGACTTCTTTTCGAAATAAAAGTTTGTGAATAATTGTTATAATAATTGTTTATACATAATAAGAATATAGAAATAATAAGTAACAAATTTTGATGAAATTCTTATTTCCTTCAGTCGTGGTTATTCAAACACTTGTTATTTTGAACTCTTGATAATTTGAATTTATATCTGGTCCCTTGAGTTTCAAGTAATCGAGAGTCGACTGTACATCCTAACTACTGCTTACACAAAAATAACAGACAATAACAGGCAATAGCGTTCAAAAGCGAATTGTTTTTATGTACTTACTAACTAGTTTGAAACTTTCTTTTTCTAATACATATTTTTCCCTCAATTTAACGGCAACTCTTTGTAACGTATAGGCAAAGACCCTTGTGTTATATAAAGTTAGAGGGGTCGTTATAT